CTTTTCCCTCCGTCAGAAGCCAAACTGTGCTAACAGGAGACCACTTTTCAGACTCAAACAGGCCGGACAGGCATTTCCTGTGGGCGGGACCTGGGAGCAGAGACATTCTTGGGCCAGGCACCTCCACTTCCTGTCTCTCTTTGACACACAGTCTCTCACTTTATGTTTTTGACGCTCTTATCCACAGTTGATTAGGTTTAAATTCCAAGATTATTTAAGTAAGTGCAAGGTCAAAGTCTCAGATAAAAGAGAGAACAAAACAATCCTTAATACTATGATGATGGAGACACATAACTGGGTGGAGTTAAGATAGATAATGCATATAAAAGCAAATAAACAGAGTAGGCATGTCATTTAAGAGCAGTAATGAGTGTAGAATAAGGTATGTCAAAAACTGGCAAAGAGTATTATATAGTCATATTCTTTCACTTTCACAAGTTACATTTTTTAAATCAAGTTCAGTCCTGATGATTACCACTAAATATTCATTAATTTTAAGAGTTTTCACCTTCGAAATGTGAGTTTACTTATTGCCCCGTTTAGATTTTTTCATGAGAAAATACGACATTAAAGTATTATATTTTTTTGTTTTTCTGAAACTAAGGGGATTGTTTTTCACAGAATAGAATATGTTAATGATTACCAACAATGTTGATTTAAATGCAGTTTTATTTGTCATATCGTATACCCTTTCCAAAATGTAAGCCATTAGCATGAATGGCGCCAAATATATATATTTAAAAGAAAATGTTTCCCTATTTGGCAAAGGTAACTGTCAGTTAAAATAATGACATACAACTGTAGATAAAGTTTAAATATCTACAGAAAACAGGATCAAACTTGCTGTTTTTGAACTATTCTAAGTATTGGGAATCAAAATACATTTCAAAAGCTCAAAACCTCGTCTCTGTATTTGCTCCTTGTGTCTTTTAACAGCTGCATTCACTGTATAGAAGCTTTCATACATCAAATGTTAGGGAATGTGTGTGTGTGTGTGTGTGTGTGTGTGTGTGTGTGTGTGTGTGCATGCTGTGTGTGTGTGTGTGAGTGCGTGCGTGCGTGCATGTGTATGTGTATGTGTGTGTGTGTGTGTGTGTGTGTGTGTGTGTTTACAGTACATGCATGTGCACTGTGGGGTTTTGGAGTAGGTGTGTGGATCGTTTGTCCTCCCGGGGGTCAGCAGCTGCACCAAAGTGTTGGGCAGCTGGAGCATGTGGAGGAGAGTGTAGGGGGTCCTCATAAATCTAAATACATACAGTATATTTGTTACAAGTAAAAGTACAAGTGTATTAGCATCAAAATATACTTAAAGTACCTAAAGTACTCGTTATGCAGAATATCCCATTTCAGAATCTGTATGGTTCTGGATTATAATTATTGAGACGTAAACCTACTAACATCAACCTCTTTTAAGTAACTCATCTATCATTTTGTGAGGCTGAAAAAAAGCCTTTACTGAGATTATTCACATGAAAAAAAAAGTTTTAAACATTGATTATCAATTTGTATTTCATCTCTGGCAGCATCACTCTTCATTACATTGAAGATATTTAAAATCCAGTGTGTTCTTGCTGCCCTCTAGTGGCTCATTGTGAGCATGACGACTCTTCACATGTTTGTTAGAATCGTACAACACATCTATTCAACTCATGAAAAAAACTGAACACACAATGGTTAACAAGCAAACCAATTCTGAGTGAGTTTAAGGAGAATTTGCACCACCTCTAATCCACTTTTCGATCTCTCTGTCTGTACACACAAACTGAAAGATTTGACTTTTGATTAGATGTGGTTGTGCAGGGTTCAGTTTAACAGTGCACATTTTAACCGAGAGGATGCTTGTCATTTCTGGCCTGTGGGGAGAGGAAGGAAGTCATGCTAAAACAGCAACTTATTCATATCAATAAGACAAGGCAAGAGTAATTGTATCTCACCGTCCGGGGGTCTCCAGCATCAGAGGGATGTTGTCCAGCCGAGGCTCGTTTTACGACATCTCTGAAGGCAGAGAGACCAATGTGTACAGTGGAGGGTCTTGAACATGCTGTCTTTAAATTGAAATAAATTGTATAGCCCATTTATCTCAGGGGCCTTTACACCCCCCGCTGTCTGAAACGCCTCCATTGGACTCCTTTGTTTATTTCAGGAACATAAGGACATCACTACGTAACACTCGGGCTTCTATTGGCTAGCACTTCAACACATTGTACGTGATAGGCTGGTTTCAGACAGAGGGTGAAAAGAGGTGCTGCAGCACAGGCAGTATGAGAAAAATGCCAGTAGAGCTACATACTAATATGAACCTGGACATTTGCATAACAGGGCCCCTTTAACACAACTCCAACATTTCCTTAAACTTGCTGCAACAAATACTAAACCTGTTTGGTTCAGCTGCTGTTTTTCATTCAGTAAGGTTTGCTCCTGCTTCAGTGTTTCTGCAGGAATCCTCTGCAGCATGTTCTTGTCACTCAATCGGCATTCAAAGTATGCGAGTACAAAAGACTGCGGTCATTGCTATGAATCATAAATAAAGCAACATCTGTGTCATCCTGCAGTCACTTCTGCAAAAAGACAGTTATGCATTAACTCCGAAGTCAATCTGAGGTCAAACGGTTTTGTATGAGATGAAGACGTTCCTCATTTTTTTTATAATTGACTTGAGGTAGTCAAATATTAATCCTCGTAAATAGGTCAAATATTATATTAAACTCTAATTTCATTAATTACATGCAAGAAGGATTAACCAAATCAATTGTGGTTTTCGTCACCTTAGATTTTAATTTGATTGTTCTGGAGTATTTCAGTAAAGCTCATAATGTTCTCTGCTTGAAAAGGAAGTATGGATTGAAAATCACTTTATATTGCTGAGGCTGTAAATTAGAGTGTTCTTTTTTCAATACGTTTTCCTGTGATTAGCATATTACATTACATGTCATTTTGTTAGACGCTTTTATCCAAAGCGACTTACATACATTCAGTACTGTGGACAATCCCCACAGGAGCAATTTTGGGTGAAGTGTCGACATGCTGACTGCAGTGGGACTCGAACTTGCTACCCCCTGATTTGAAGTCCATCACACTTTCCACTGAGCCACAGCCTCCGACATTGACATTCAGTATGTCATTGAGGTTTTCAGTTGCTACATTACTTAATACATCCACAAATGGTGTTGTGTTTTCCACTAGGTTCGATTTTTTGTTTATCTGTTGAAAGAAAGATTGTATTATTATTAAAAAAAAATGACAATGCATCAGTACACATTTTTGCAGAATGACCCTCATAGACACAGACCCAGTTAAATCTAACCAGACACACTACATAAAAAACTTGGGAGTGATCTGACAGTCTCAACAATTCTACATTTTATGAACTTCACTAGAAAGGTATTTACTGCATAGCACTGACTGTCTCCACCCCTCCTGTACATGTAACCACAGCAGGTGTTTGCCAGTGGGCGTGGTTAATGGCTGCTGCTATTTTCTCCACACACTGCTCCGTGGTGATGGAGCCCAGAGAGGATCCAGGGAGGAAGTTGTATAGAGTTTGCGGCCCAGGAGGCTGCAGCGGCTCAGCTCATCCACCAGCAGCTCCTGGCTCTGCTCAAACACACACATCTGGGTGCAACATGGCGCACAAAGCAATACTGTGCAATATCACATTGTTATACATCTTGCACTATTTTATCTGTTTATTTGTCTTTTTTGTTCTCTGTCCTATATATATTCATGTTGCACTGTTGGAGGAGCCTGTCACTTAAGTTTTTCATTGCCTTATCTACACTGTAGCGAATGACATGACAATAAAGCCTTGAATCTTGAATCTTGAATGTCCCAAAATGTGTATAGTGTCTCAACACATATGTTATTTATGTCACTTAGTTTAATTCATTAGTGTTCCTCATTTTTATCCAGGGTTGTGGACATGTGTGCTTTTCTTCTCTACATTTAATAAGAAAGCTTATTCTTCCTTATTGCATGTTTTTGTTTTACCTGCTATGCCACTTTTTGCTGTAACCCTTTGCGGGACTAATATAGCCGTATACTTGCCAGCTGTGTGAACACGGAAATGTTGAGTCCCCAAGAGTTTTATGTCAGAAATGTATAGTCTGGGTCCACAGCACAAAGAAACTGCTGGATGCTAACCTGCTTATGTTGGGTCATTTGCACAATTGGCATAAATTAGCAAATGCAACAATAGCAAAAAAATGACTTGGCAGATTTTGACAATTTTTGTTCAATCAATTTCTGACATTTTTAGGATAAGAAATTGCAGTTTTTAGTTCCCTTAATCTTTCAAATCTATCCATAAATCATCAGAATCAATCAGCGCACCGGGAATACAATTATGGCACCTTTCTGGTTAACACTGCCATCTGTGATCCTATAAATGTCAGAAATTGATTAAACATCCTCAATAACCCATTTTTTCTTCTCTTCTGACAACCCCATTTTCAGAATCAGAATTCCTTTATTAGTCTATTTGCCAGCTCATGGGGTCCTATTGTGGACCGGGAAATGTTGAGTTTTATATAAGAATTGTATAGTAGCTACGGGTCCCCAGCACAAAGAACATTTTGCACAATTGACATACGTTGCATTAATTAGCAACGTGGGCAATGTGAATTTAGTTCCAGGTGTAACTAAAATCCTATTTAAGTGTTGATTATATCTCACATCATTAATCCAAATCTGCAAAGTAACTAAAGGTATTAAATATATGTAGTGGAGAAAAAAATAAACTCTGAAATGTAGTGGAGTAGAAGTACAAAGTAGCAAAACATTAAAATACTCAATAAAAGTACAAGTAGAATACACGAGTTAGTGTACTTAGTTACTTCACAGCACTGAGTAAGAAAGTATAGTAGTATAGTAGAAGTCGTTTTCTTTTTTGCATATTTGAAATATAATAACTTTACCCTAAAATGCACTAAATGTGGAGCTTAGTTTGCCAGTCAGAGTGTATGAAGGTCAGAATGCATCCTCTCTCTCTCTGCAGAGCTGCCATTGGAGGAGACGCTTCATGCTGAGCAGCAAAATGGCCGCCCGTCAAACGACTGACTCCACAGCGCTTTGAAATTTAAATTCTTCTGCACATTAGGGTTTACACTATTACAACGTTAGTACTTATTTACGAACCTGTAGCTTGTAACACGCGTGTATTTTTCTCATCGTCTGCCTGCCACTTACTTGACTGTGTCGTCGCTGTTTTTGTCGACGAATGCCTCAAAAAGCTAGGAAGAAAAAATCGCACTGAAGCACTTTAGCTAAGCTAACTAGCACGTTAGCTTCTCTTCATATGTGATTCCAGAGGTGAGTAAACGTGAACTGGACATATGCGTAGTGTTTATCAGCTTTTTTAACATCCCATTGTGTGGATATATGTACATATGCATGCAAAACGTCTGCAAGATAAATTAGAATGAGATGCTACTGCGCGAGCTAAAACCGTTAGCCTGGCTACTTGTAGCTTCTGTAACTTAGCTAACTTAGCATTAGCACTGATGTAGCAGCAGTTACTATGGTTAGCAGAGGACGATTTGTAGCTCAATGCTCGGTGTATTTGCTCTTAATGACCACTGTGTACTTGCATAACATTATTAACAATACTTACTGGGCTTGACAACTGGTTTATAATTATAATTTGGGTTTTTCGGTGTCTGCGTTATTTTTTTTTAAGCTGAAACCACTCCTTAATGTTAGCTATCGACGAGTAACCAGCAGCTGTTAAACCTGCTTAAACTCCTAAATACAATATATAATAAGTGGTTTGATGAAAACCCCTAACTGGATATACAGGGTGCCAGTTAAGCACCTTAAATCACCTGTGTTCTTTGGTTTTCGGTGACGATTTCCCATGTTTAGCACAATTCAAAGTACGTTTACTTCAGTATTGTACTTAGGTACAATTTTGATAGACTTGAGTATTTCAACCTTTTGCTACTTTGTACTTATAATCTACTACAATTCAGAGGTAAATAGATGAGTTAACATCAACATACATGACTATCATAATTATGTGGTTTAGAGGCCTGAGGTCAGAAAGGCTGTCAGTTTCACTGTCTGTGGATCTGCTTCGGTGTTATGACTTTAAGCAAAAACGAAACCAAATAAAAACAGACAATCAGGGCGTAGCATGACTGTTTGCAACCTGTTAATATGAGCTTAAATATACAGTGGGATTGTGGTTATTTCCACATTTTAATATTTCGGTGCATCTAATTGTTCCTTCCATCTCTAGTAGGTGTAGAGCGGCACATAGGGCTAGGTTATGAAGTCACATTTCACGATATTTGTGACCTTATACTTCGTTATTGTGACGATATTGTAGGGTTGACCATTGATGCTTTCACAACATCTTAAAACATTGAGCATTTTTTGTATTAATACCCACCAGGAATGTGGATTTATTGACCAACTAGCAAAGCAACAAGTCTAGTCAATTCAGTAAAATGACATCCCTTGAAGACCAGAACAGAACAAATAATATAAAGCACTGACAAAAAAAGCAAAGGAAAAATAATTTGTTGTCTGTGGCCCATTGTCCCTTACTAGAGTCCTCTATAAGCTGCTGGTTTGACAGCTAACAAAATAATGTTGGTCTTTACCTTCATAATGATCCTTTTGCAAGGAACAGGGTGTCCGTGTTTCTCACTAGATTTAACGCTTTGTGAAAGTTACTTTTCATTAATGCTGCTTTTAATTTGGGCTGGTTTTCCAGTTTTAAAATTATTCCCAAATGTTACCTAACAAAACTTCGACTTTTATTGAAAGACTGGGCAATAATTAAATATGTTTTATCATTTTATACTGTCTCAATTGATAATAATAAGCTTGTACTTAGTCAATCTAACCCTAGAATAGCACAAGAGTTTATCAATATTTATCCACATTGATGGTTCTAGTTATATTTGTCTATGTCATGCATCTCGATGTTCTTATATCGTGGATCCTTTTGATAAGGCATTATTTGGTGATCTTGTTTTGCATACCTTTGTGTCTCCACAGCTGTTTAAAGAGCCTTATCAAGAAGCTTTTCTCAAACACCATTTGAAACACAATTAAAGCACACACCTGGCTGTCAAACATTCAGTCTGTCACTTGTTATAGTTTCCACTGGAGTCACTCTGCTGACAACATTGAGTTGGCTGACTAAATCAAGCCCTTTGTAAACCGTTTAAATTGATTGACTTGAACAGCTTACGGTATCCTGCATGCGTTTGATAGGGATAATTACTGTTTGTTGCCCACATGTCCAGCAGTATTCTTAGCTCTAACACCTGATGGCTGATTCATCCAATCAAGCATGCAGTTTCATTGTCACTTACACAAATCCATCCGGATGCTCACGTGGCCATAATCCTCCATCAACTGAGCCTCAGTTATGTTGTCTTTTTACCTTGAGTCCTGCCGCAGTCATCATTAACTATTGTTCAATGTTTTTTTTAGCTATACAAAGAAGCACTCTGTGATTTTAAAATGGTGACTTTGTGACCACATTTTGAAATTTGTTTTGTCCTCCAGAAGAAAGGAGTACCAGGACTGGAGCTGTAGTTCATGGAAGACAAGAAAAGGAAAAAAGACGACAAAAGGAAAAGGGAAGCCTCTCAGAAGGTGAGCACGTTCAAAATCACTTCCATATTCCTAGATGTAAAAAAAACATGTGGCGGCGTCGTGTTGAACAGCAGTTTCATATCATTACATGTCATTTGTTAGACATTTTTATCCAAAGCGACTTACATACATTCAGTACTGTGGACAATCCCCACAGGAGCAATTTGAGGTGAAGTGTCTTGCCCAGGGACACAACGACATGCTGACTGCAGTGGGACTCGAACTTGCTACCCCCTTATTCAAAGTCCAGCACACTATCCACTGAGCCACAGCCTCCATGTCTTTCATATCTTTGAAACGTCCTTACATTTGGTTATTAGAGAGCTATTTCTTCTAATTTCTAATGGTTATTCTTTATGATGAGTTGGGATCCTACTGTATTCATATATTCCAACTTGAAAAACTCAATTTCAAAGCAGTTAATGTTAAAATATAGAATGGAGTGATCCCATTACGAAATAACTTCTCTTGGATGTTAATTTAGTCCAATCACAGCTTAACGTGTGCTAGGGCTGTATCCGAATATTCGGTCGTTGGCCTACTATTCGGTTTTCAATTTCGTTATTCGCTTTTTTTTTTCTTCCCTAAATGTATGCTATCAATAAAGGCGACTTGCCACATTCTTATACTATATTTATACTTTTTAATTGCACTGTTAAAATGCGTAAATATATACAATCTCAGCTTGGGCGTCCGACATCGCTTTCAATAGCTAGATCTGATCGATATGGACATAAACGCGAGTGAAGTCTAATCTGACGGGAGAGAGAGATCAGCTGCTGCTGACGAGTCGACACGCAGCTCTGCATGATCACCTGCAGCGGTGAGCGGAGCAAACACACACCTTCAGGTTAGAATATCACACTTAACTATTTTAATTACCTCTCAAACTACATAAAATAGTTATAGATATGTTTATTTTTACTGTCAGGAGAGGGAGAGAGCGCTCCGTTTATTATTCCCGTGTTATTATCAGTTACTGTACACTTTTGAATAATGTAGTTAATCTACTATAATTAGTTTGTTTTATATCGAATCATATCAATTTGTTTTAAAGCTCAATAAATAACAAAGAAGACCTTTGACCGGCACTTTTCTGATTTTGTCCGGAAGATTTAAACTTTAACGGACATGTTGACCGGCAAAAAAAAAATTCTAGCGGAAACTCTGGGCACAACAACTATGGCTTTACCCGCAGTTTAAACCGTAACGTTACACATGATAAAAACGTGCACGCGCGCGCCGAATATTCGCTGCTGATTACTACCGAATATCCGGAGCCCGAAAAACTGTATTCGTGACAGTTAGGGCTGTCCCGAATACAGTTTAAATCAGTAAACCTTGATTTATCAATGAGAATTTTTTTATTAAAGTAACTACTAATAACACATGTATTTGTTGGCAGAAGCTGATTTAGTGGCATCAAGCAGATTCATTGTAGTTATCCCTTTGCACTTTCCACAGTCTTTCTGAATGTGCCACCTAAACTACATGTTTAAATGCTTTAATTCACATCCATATCCCATCATATGTTGGTAAATGACATACATATTTATTAATGTCACCTTATATGATGCTGTCAATTACAAGTTTATTGTGATGCCAAACAGTTGGAGCTTTGTCATTCTTAACATTTTGACAAATCACTAAATCATTTCATCACGTTACATTAAATTACATTACATGTTACTTGTTAGACGCTTTTATCCAAAGCGACTTACATACTCAATACTGTGGGCAATCCCCACAGGAGCAATTTTGGGTGAAGTGTCTTTCCCAGGGACACACGACATGCTGACTGCAGTGGGGTTTGAACCTGAACCTTTCCTCTTTGAAAACATACATTTGCACCGTTTAAAAAAATATACGGTTAATAAATAATGTGGAGAAGACCAAATCCTGACACTCTACCGTTTTAATATGTGGATGACGTCTGTCAGTGTTACGTGAACACTGTCTAAGACAAAACAAGTCCCAACAACATGCTTTAGTTAATATCTTGGCACTAGAAATATTTCTTTATCTAACCATAATCACAGTTTCATTCTTGTAAGCACCATGTTTTCTCTTGTCTTAAACTATTTTAATCTTTGCTCAGAGCAGGTTGTTTTTACTGAGGTTTGATATTTAAATGAATCAAATGTGTGTTTTACTTGGCGTCCTAACTTTGATTCAAGAATGACGTGTTAACTAATGTGTTTCTTTCTCATTTTAGGTCACAGAACAAAAAAACAAAGGTAAGCAGCACAGTGTGTATATGTTCAGATAGAAAAGCCACACATTTGCTGTTTTTACCAAAGTACCTCTGTCTCGTGAAATTGGCTTTTGCAATTCTTAGAAACAGTCATTAAACCGATTTCACCTCGGCATCAGGGAATTATTTAGGCTTCTTCCTTTTCGCTGTTTCTGACCAATATATGGACTGTGCTCACATGTACAGGAAATACATTTTTGCACTGTTCTCTTAAGAATCAGAAGCGGGTTTATTACCAGGTAGCTTGACACGTACGAGGAATTTGACTTGGTGTCGTGGTGCATACATAAAAGTAAAACAAAAATGTAAAAACACAGATAGCGAACTATTTTAAGAACACTATAATAACATTAAGAACAAATATAGTAAAATAAGATGAAGCCGTATTTACATTGAAATAGAATGCAATAAGATATAACAGTGCAGTAAGCAAACCAGATATTGTCAACATGTGTGCAAGATGTATTTGGTAGCATTTCATAGCTTCTTGTAATGTAAAAAAACCATCTAATAAATAATAATAAAATAATCTGCATCAGGGAATGATTTTAAGAATGTTCTGCTTCCTTCCCTTTCATACCAATAATTAGACAGCGCCTACATTAACAGGAAATGAATCATGCTCTGTTCTCTTCAGATGTTTTTGGTTATATGCTTCTTGATTTCACACCCTCCATTTCTTTCCCTCAGTGCCAGACTTGACCAAGCCGGCGGTCGTCCAGTCTCCTGCCACTCAGAGCAGCTCTGCCTCCCCCAGCCCTGGACCCGCCCCCTCTGCCTCCCCATCCCCAGCCACCACCTTGGGCCCTGGCAGCGCTGCCACCCCGTCACAGGGCGGCAACAATGCCAAGCGCCTGGCGGTGGCCAACGGACAGCCCACCTCCAACACCATTTCTTCCTCCACCGCTGGCGGCCCCGGCGCTGCTGGAAACGGCAGCAGCGCGAGTAGCGGAGGCGGAGCTTCAGCGCCTCAACAGCAGCAACAAGCGCGCTACATGCCGAGAGAAGTGCCGCCGCGATTTCGCTGCCAGCAGGACCATAAAGTGCTACTGAAGAGGGGGCAGCCGCCACTGTCCTCCATGCTGCTCGGAGGAGGAGGAGGAGGAGGAGGGGGAGGAGGGGGGGATGGCCCCAATGCAAACATGGCTGCTGTCTCAGGTACGTGTTAGCAACGCTTTTGGAATGATATGTTTTTAGTTTTTGTTTATTTGTTTATAGTGTTGTGGACAGTCCCCATTGATCAACGGTCACAAAAAACAGTACATGGGGCAGCTTTAGCCAACATTGCTAATTTCCAGCTGTTGTCTCCGGCCAGATGATAATGGGCACCTTTTTGAAATCACAATACATCAACCGCATTAGTTAAAAAAAAAAAAAAAGGAGGAGGTTTGATTACACCGCGATGCACAATAAAGCGCCACAGGAAGATATTTCTGCTTGTGGTCATCTAACTTTTTTACTAAAGTGGCATTAGGACTTACTTAACCTCAATCAAAATGCACCTTGGGCAAAGAATAGCACCTACAATGGCTTGGCTTATTAAGAACTAAGAATTCCTGCCTTTTTTTAGTTTGTATATTCATGCTTGAATGCACTTAGGCCCTAGCCACACGAGGACGATAACGGTCATATCTGCTACAGTTCTCTATCAGATAGACGGTTCGGCCACACGAGGGACATAAAACGATAATGGGTCCCAAGGTGGGTAGATCTGCGAACGAAACGCTCTGGGGGGGCAAACGGCTCCGTGTTTACGCCTATACGATCATGTCCTGATAACGATGAAGCAATAGCCCCGCCTCTCCTGCTCAGAGATCAGCTGCTGGGCTCTCAGAAGAGGAGGAGGAAAAGAGAGGCTCCGTTTTTTATTATTATATAGCGTCGTTATCAATTTGTTTTAAAGGAGAGGTGTCATGCTTTTCCGGTTATTACCCGTCCCCTTGTGTGTTATGAAGGTTTTTATGCATGTAAACGGTGTGCAGAGTCAAAACCCTCAAAGTACACCCTGTAGCGAGTAAAACTCTAACACAGAAAATACCTCCCCAAAACGCCTCGTTGGAGATACGTCATTGTCCATTTGATTCTTCCGGGACGGCATGATGTCAAGCCGTACCCGGAACGAAATGGACCAATCCGTGGAGCCGTTACGTTTAGAGATGTCCCGATCCGATCACGTGATCGGGGATCGGAGCCGATCACGTGATTTTCAAAAGATCGGAATCGGAAGAAAAAGATCGGGGATCGGGATTTTTTTTTTTAATATAAAAATATTTTTATTATTTTATTTAATGTTACAAAACAAAAATGACCATGTTCACGTCTTAAAGTCATCCTGAGGCCTTAGTTTTGGCTTAAAATCACACAACATCATGTATGTGTTGCTTCTTTTGGGCTTGTTTTCATAGACCTCGTTGCTTATTTCTCTCAAATCTGTGAACTTGTGAAGCTAGTCAAGCTACCTCTTTCCAGTAGAGTAATTTTTGTTTTGTTACTGCACTATCTGCACTCAATTTGTTTACATGGTTATTTTGTGGTGGACCACTGATAAGCTTTATTTTGTTTTTGATCCAATGCTGCACAACTGAACTGATCCAATGCTGCTGTGAAAAAAAGAAGCTATATCCATGTTGGATAGAATGGGTAGTTGGGTACTGTCATTTAAATAAAAAAATAACCTTAAGGGACAACTTGAATGCTTTTTTTCCTTTTTTTTTCTCTTAATGCATTGCATAAAGATCGGATCGGGAAAAATCGGTATCGGCAGATTGTCAAAATCAAATGATCGGAATCGGATCGGGAGCAAAAAAAGGTGATCGGGACATCCCTAGTTACGTTACGTCCGCGGAGCCGTTACGTTAAGCCCCCGCTGATTGGTCCAAATTGACCGATCCACGGACTTCCTCACACACACATCTGTGTGCAGGGAGCAGGCAGCTCAGCTGATTTCTCCTCCCTGGCTGCAGGCTGATAACAGACAGTTGGGATCGCGGCGAAATTCTCTCTGCAGACCCATTCTCACAGCGTTTATCAACCTTTTTCTTACTCAATATCAAGCCACACTTACTGTTTTGACTTCGGATGTGAGTTTGTGTGTGCTCAGGATGAGTTTGGCTGTGTTTCGCTATGTATCCTAAACAAGGAAACAACACCTCCACGGAGCTCAGCGCGATTCACAACGTCCCGACCAATCAGAGCACACTGTGCTCACAGGGAGGGTGGGGGCTGGAGCTATTGGAGCTACAACGAGCCGTTAAAGGCAGAGAGTGACATTCAGTGAATACTCCTAGTTTACAGAGATGCTGTTTGAGAAACCAATGTGAGTTTGGAAAAATGCACAATATAAATCTATTTTAGTAGACCTCAACAATGGAATTATGATCAGTGGAAATGGCCATGACACCTCTCCTTTAAAGCTCAATAAATAACAAAGAAGACCTTTGACCGGCACTTTTTCAAATTTTGTCCGGAAGATTTAAACTTTAACGGACATGTTGACCGGGGTAAAAAAATCTAACTGAAACTCTGCTGCACGGTCCCCTCGTCCCTTGGAAGAGGCGGAGAGGTGGGTGTTTTTCATCTGCTGGTGGACTAACCGGAGAGAATTACAGCAGGAGCAAACGCTTGCCTCGGGGAGGGAGAAAAAGAGCCAGAGCGTCCACAGCGGAGAATAAACAGAAGGACAACCATGCGCGGGAAGTCTTCTTCGCTGCTTTTGTGGCAGGAGTACAGCGCCACTTACAGGCCTGGCATATGTACTACAGCGTCTCCAGCGCTTTCGAGCGGTCTCGTGTGAACGGACACGTTTCTGGTGCCTGTTGCGTGTGGACGGAAGACTTTTTTGATATCGATTTCGGTTCGTTTGGCATTGTTTCCTTCCCTAAAGTTTCGTCTCTTTTTGCTTTGTTTCAGATCCTGGTGCAGCTGCCTCCTCATTGGCCCTCACCTCATCATCAGTTGCTGCTTCTACTACTACTTCTAATTATGCAAATTCCATGTGGGGGGCGAGCTCAGGCAGCCAGACCTCCTCTCAGGGCAGGGAGAAGGTGATCGTGGATGGCAACGACCTGGAAGAGTGGCCCAGCATTGCCGGCAATGATGGTGGTGGAGGGGCTTCTTTCACCGTGGCCGTGGGGGGGGGGCGCCAGCAGCAGCAGCAGCAGCAGCAGCAACAACAACAACAACGTAATGCCTGTGAACAGCATCAGTGCCTCTGGCAACCAATCCTCACCCACTTCCTCGTTCTCTTTGCCCAATGAATGTATGCAGTCGTCCAACGGTGTGGCGTGGGGGACGGCTGCCTCCCCGGGTCATCTCGCAGGGGGGGGTGCAGTAGCTGCAGCCGGACCCCCTCTACCACCACCACCCACACCCTCCTCACTTTCCAAAGCCTCCGCTGTGCCGGGGAGCCATGAAGCCAGTGGCCCCGTGGACGGCAGCAGCAGCGGGATTCCAGGTGCCAACTTCAATCCAAATGCCAACCCTTCGGCCTGGCCAGCTCTGGTGCAGCAGGAGGGGGAAGGAGCTCCGTCTTCCTTCCATCACCAGGGCACCGCAGGGTCCTTGTCTGCCAACAACCCCCCCTCCCTGGGCCTGGGGGGTGGGGCAGTCGGGGTGCTGGGGGGTCACCCACCTTTATCTGTGAATCAATCAAGCACCCATCAGCGGCAACTTCACCAAATGCAATCCAGAGACCGAGAGATGGGTGGGGGGAAGTGGGACAGCGAATCAGCGGGACCAAAAATCGCAGGTGGGGGGGAAGGAATTGGGGGAGGAATGGACCGTGGAGGAGGCGAGAGTGGGGGAGACCACGGCCTCGCCTCCTCCTGGAGAGGCCAGTCTTCTTACCCTGCAGCTAACTCCAAAACGGGTGCCTCAAGGACTGACGGATGGGAGGGGGGCGGAGCTGGTGGATTCGGAGCTGCTGAAGGAGATAACGGGACCTCGAGTTGGGGGTATCAGAGTGCCACTAGTGGGGCGAGTGCTTGGGGTAGTGCTGGGAACGGCAGTCAAACCTCCGGGGTATCTCAGGGAGGGTGGGGGTCATCGGGAAGTGGAAGTGGAGGTGGAGGTGGAGATTGGGGAGGGAGCTCCGCTGCTGCCGCTAGTGGAGCTAATCCAGCAGGCGAGGGGGTCGGTGGAGTCTGCAGCAGTAACAGCAGCAGCAGTGGGGGCAGCACAGCTGGAAACCCCCCTGCAGCCCCTTCCTCCTCCTCCTCTTCCTCAGCAGCCGCCACCACTACGACCAGAGCTTGGGACAATCAGAAAGGGGAGAGTGAAACGGGGGAGTGGGGAAGTGGAGGACAGGAAGCACAGGGAGGGTCCTCCTCCAGCGGCGGAAATTCCAGAAGTGGGAACGGGCGAAGTCACAGTCGTCCTCTCATCCCTGCACCTAACGCTGAAGCTGCCTTACAGACCCTGCTCAGCCGGTCCGACCTGGATCCCCGGGTCCTGTCCAACACGGGATGGGGCCAAACGCAGATCCGACAAAACACGTCCTGGGACTTTGAGGAGCACGGAGGGAAGAGTAAAAGTGGATCGTCGTCAGCTACAGCGAAGCACGCCTCCTCTGCTCCCGGTGGTTCCTCTCAGTACTCGGGTGGACCCAGGACTCAAATCAATGAATCTACTGGGGGTCCGGGGGTCAATCCTTCCCTGGGTCCCTCCGCAGGGTCCGCAGGAGGAGAGGGCTGGGAGAGCAGCAGCAACAGTAGCAGTAGTGGGGCATCTCTTTCTGGGAGAGCCCCACCACCACCACCTTCAGGCCACAACATGAGGAATCTTGGCGTCTCACAATCTGGGCCGACAGCGGGACCGGGTATGGGGTCCGGGGGAATGTCAGGACACAGCCAGCAGGGGAAGGCTACAGGCTGGGGAGGTGGAGGAGGGGGAGGGGGAGGGGATGGGCAGCAGGCTAAAGGCTGGGGGAGTGAGGAGTGGAGGGATGGCAGTAGAGGAGGAACTGGAGGAGGAACTGGAGGAGGAAATGGAGGAGGAACTGGAGGAGGAGGGGGGGGGGGAGGAGGAGGATGGGGGGATCCTGGGCAACAGGGTGACCCTGCGAGTGGAGGCTGGGGAGGAAACAACAACAACAAGGAGGAAAAAGCACCAGGCGGGTGGAAAGAAATGGGAGGGAATGGAGGAGGGAGTGGGGGAGGGAATGGAGGAGGGAGTGGAGGAGGGAGTGGAGGAGGGAATGGAGGAGGGAATGGAGGAGGGAGTGGAGGAGGGAGTGGAGGAGGGAGTGGGTGGGGATCAGGACAGAAGGGGGGGGCGGGTAGGGACTGGGGAGAGCAACAGTCCAAATCAAATAGCAGCGCAGGAGGAGGAGGAGGATGGGAGGACGAGAAAAAGAGCGGAGGAGGAAACTCAGGTGGGGACTCAGGTTGGGGGAGCTGGGATGAAGGGGCTCCTCGGAGAACCTGGGGAGCTGGGGGCACAGGGGGAGGGGAACGGAGGAGGGATGGGGGTCAGCGGCGGTGGTGGAATGGGGGGGTCCAAACCCCATCAAAGTTGGAGTGGAGGAAACAAAATGCACCAGATGCCAAACAGCCAGCCGGGCCCCGTCCCGCAGGCACAACTGCAGCAGCAACAATCACAACAATCACAGCCCCGCAATCAGCATCCGCAGAGAGCGATGGACCAAGGGGCCATGCAAGGGGGTGGGGGCGGGGGCGGGGGTGGGAAAAAACCCATCTCCCAAGCCCCGAATCAGAACCAAAGCTCAGGCTGGACCTCGGGGCCAATCCCTGCCGGCGCCGGAGGAGGAGGAGGTGCCGGAGGAAATAGTGGAGGAGGAGGAGGAGGAAATGGTGGAGGAAATGGAGGAGGGAATGGTGGAAATGGAGGAGGAGTTGGAGGTGAATCTGAGCCCAGCGGCTGGGAAGAGCCGTCACCTCAGTCCATTAGCAGGAAGAACGAGATCGACGATGGAACATCAGCATGGGGAGACCCGACGCATTACAGCTACAAGCCCGTCAACCTGTGGGATAAAAACGCAGCCGCCGCCGCCGGACAGCAGCAGCCGCCGCCGCCGCCGCATGACCAGCAGCCTCATGTTCAGGCTCAACAGCAACAACAACAGCAGCAGCAGCAACAACAACAACAACAACAACAACAACAACAACAGCAGCAACAACAACAGCAGCAACAACAACAGCAGCAACAACAACAGCAGCAACAACAGCAACAGGAGAGACAACAACAACAACAGCAGCAGCAGCAACAGGCACCGCCAATACAGCATCCGCCTGCAAGACAAGCTGCAGGGATCGGAGGTAACAGAGACTTTAACCCTGGCCATGGACCTGCAAAAACTTCAGCTATTGGTAAGATACTAGAAAGTGCCAATTTGACCATTATAATGTGATTTTTAAGTTGTCTTAAAGAAGAAAAAAAACTACAAATTACATAAAATAAACAAAGTGAAGCTCAGTCAATGGATAGGACGGTTTAGGATTAGTCAACATAACACTCCGAATAATGAATTGATTGTGGTCAATTTCTATATATAATCACGAACGAGAAAACATTGATAACTTGCCGTCATGGTGGAGTGAAAATTGTAAGCTTCCTCCATCTTACAATGTATTGTCCCTGTTTGTGTGCAGGTCCGTCAGGTTGGGGGGGTAATTCTCCAGCTAGTCCTACAGCAGACAACGGCACGATAGCGTGGGGAAAAACTAATGAAGCTCCTTCTGGCTGGGGAGAACCTGAAGATGCTGGAGGGAAGACATCGGGCTGGGGAAACCCTTCTCCCAACCCAATCAAATCTGGTTAGAACATCTAATGAATACTAAAGCATGTGAGATCAAAATGTACCTGGTTGTGCCGGGGTACATTCAAGATATTTGATGCATTACATTTCCAAGTCAACTTTTTTGTCAATCTTTCAGTTTGTGTGTACTGACGGAGAGATCCAAATACCGTTTCCCACAATCCTGAATACAAAAACAAATATATATTAAAATTAGGGCTGTCAGTCGATTAAAATAGTTAATCGCAAATTAATCGCACATTTTGTATCTATTCTAAATGTACCTTAGAGGAATATTTTTCAAGTTTTTAATACTCTTATCAACATATGAGTGGACAAATATGCTTTATGCAAATGTTTGTTTATTATCATCAACAAATATTCTCCTGAATATTCTCAACACAACAACCTGGAACCTCTCTCTCTCTCTCTCTCTCTCTCACTCTCACTCTCACTCTCACTCTCACTCTCACTCTCACTCTCACTCTCACTCTCACTCTCCCTCTCTCTCTCCCAACCCTGTGTACTTCTCTGCACTGAGCCAGTTGCTCAAACAGGCAAGCCTGTTTACAGTGGTCGCTCCTCTGTCTTCATAACAGTCAAAGCATGAGACTGAAGTTCCCACTGTGGGTCAAAATAATGCGTTGTGATGTGCAGTCCACACGTTGGATGCGATCTGAATTATCTCTCGCTAGAATCTCCCACCATCCAACTAACAACAACAACAACAACAACGTCAAGCCTTTGGGCTCTGAAACTACGGGGCGGGCCGAGGACAAATGCACATGCGTTAATCGCACGTTAAAATAATTAGTGGCGTTAAAGGAAATTGCGTTATTAACAAATATTGTATTCAAATATGTATATACACAATCAACAGACACATGTATACATATGCACACATTAAGACAAAAGCACAACAATCAATATATACAAAATAACAGTCACTTCAATAACTTTGAGAACAGTAAAAAAAGTGTCTGGTGCTGGATTTGAGTGTCTGTGTGTATGGGGTGTTAAAGTCCAGTGGGGGCGAGGGGGGAGAGAGTACAGCCTCCTGACAGCCTGGTGTAAAACATTTGAAACATTATCATGCTTAAGAGACCAGTAGTAGAAAACACAGAAATGAACACAGTGGTATTTACTCTTGATGCTTTTTCTCCTGCAGGTTCAAAGTCTATGCAAGATGGCTGGGGGGATAAAGAGGCCTCTGTGGCTGCGACACGTCACTCGAGCTGGGAGGATGAGGAGGAGGGGGGCGGTGGCGGTGGCGGCGGCATGTGGAACAGCGCCGGATCCCAGGGCAGCGGCTCCTCTTGGGGCCAGGGAAGCAACGGGGGCTGGGGGCAGAGCCACCAAGAGAAGAAGCCCAGCAGCAAGGTGATACTGATTAATACTGTGCAACTTTATCTAAACTATTATTTAGAAACCAAATCCTGAATGGTTCTGAGCAGGACCTGTGAGGTGATGCTTGCTATTTGTTGTTGTTGTAAAAGTTATTTCTTTTTGGTTGTTTTGTACAAAAAAAATGATTTTGTTTTAAACAAGGAATCAAATATCATGGATGCTGATGACGATGACCTAAACTTTTATTTTCACGAACAATGTACGCTACAACGGTCAATAAGTCCTTGACAGCGGTCTGTCTGTTCTGGATTAACAACGTGTCACGTGTTCTGAATTGACCAATCAGAATCGAGTATTCAACTAAGCCATGTAATAATGGCAAATGATATAGGTTCTGTTTTAAGAGTGGCATTGTTTTGACCAATTTAGTCATGGATGTATTTTATGCCACGATTGAATCTCACTGAAATCTAAAAAAAGATTCTAAGATTAAGAAAAAAGTTGTTGGTGGGTACTTTTAATTAAATTGTCCAACTCTGGTTAGTGGTTTTGTATGGCAAGGTTTTTGCACTTATCTATAATTTCTCTGTTCAAACTCCTCTAGAAATGTATTGTATGCTCATGTTATATTTGTCTTTCAGGGTCCAATGAAGCCTGGTGGAGGAGACTCCTGGATGAGTCCCATCAACAGACAGTTCTCCAACATGGGGCTTCTGGTAAGACACATTTTTTTTAACTTAATATCTGGTATTGTGATGTTAATTTTCTTTAATGTGAAAGGGTTAACAAAGGGTGTCCGCGGGGTCTTAAAAAGTATTAAAAGTTGATAAATCAATTTAGCGAACATTAAGGCTATTAAAAAGTATTAAACGGCATTTTCCAAGGTATTAAGAAGGTCCTCAGCAACGACAACATGAAACACCCTTTAATTTACTGCAACGACATGTCGGGAAACCCCCTCAAGGCGGCCCCATGCATAGCGCACCGTAAAATGCTGCTTCTTATTTTAAGTTTTGTTGCCTTGCTCCGCTCTGTGGGGGGGGGAAGAGTGTGTTGGGGCGCCACTGATGGTGATGAAAGCTGGTTCGAGGGGCCCCCACAGACTCTAGAATCGCCACTGTCAATCGGGATCAAAGCTGTCCGGTCTCACATGCTAAGTGCTAGCCAGAAAGCCGCGGCGTTTAAGTCCCGACTCCCGATAGCCAATCCGTGCCTCCCCTGACTGCACGTCGCTGACACACACCGCTGCAGACTCTGCACGGAGGAGCTGCGGAGTCCAGGCGATGTGGCTCCTCCAAGGAAGAGACACACGTTCACTAAGCCGAACTATATCCGGTCACAGAGATCTGCTATTTTAAAGTCAAGTCAACAAATATCGACCCTGAATATAGTCTATATTAAGAACGAGACAAGTCTTAATATATATATCGTTTTTTGTAAACATATGACAAATGTGCGAGGGTGATGACGTCAGAACATCGTCCTTAGCCCCGGACAGCCCCGGCCCAATTTAACCCCTGGGTATTTGTGAGGGAGCTCCTATATGGCATTACCCCGCTGAAGCTCACCAAGGTTTAATATAGTTCAAAGTTGTGTCAATTGTTTTGTTTATTGGTCAAATACTGGTTTCTGAGGAGTTTTACTGGAATGAAAGAGCACAAAGTGTGTCTACAGAAGCAAAAAAGCAGCATACTGCATTAAACCTGACCTTGACAGAGAGGTTGAAGTTCATGTGGAGAGGAGGCTTCAGTAGTCTGTCTGTTTTATCTCTTGGGAACAATGCCTGAATCAAATACTACTTTCTAATGGTTTCTTTTTCTAATAAACCTTGCATTGGGTTGGTCACACAATTCATTCTCTTGTGAATTATGAGTTATCATAAACTGTTTAGTTGTGCTATCTTACAATCAATACTGTATATAGTAAATGTGAGGTAAAGTGTGTCGCCAATGTAACCGGTTAGAACTCGAAGTGGCGATGAGGTCTTAAAATGTATGGAAAGGGTCTTAAAAAAGGTCTTAAAAGGTATTACATTTGACTTCAGGATTCCTGCATATACCCTGTAAAATCCCTCTCCACCTAGATGTTGTGTTTTAAAACCATACACACTTTTTTAGCCAGAATGGTAAACATTTATTTTGCAGGATGCTAATTTCCTACATTATATTTATTCTGTAATTTCTTTCTGACAGAACGATGATCCCAGTGGCCAGAACAACAACATGGATCTGGCTCCAGGTTCCCTCCAAGAGAAGAAGATGGAAGCGGAGAAAAGAGCCATGGGAATGAATATGAACGATTACAACGGAGACATGAGGAAGGTTGGCAGAGGAGGAGGAGGGATGGGTTATCGTCCACCTGGATCCAAAGAGGCAGCACCTGGAGATGCTGGATCGTACTATGACAAGGTATCGTCTCAACGCCATCTTTATCGGCCTTTTGTCGTCTTTGTCTTTCTCGTGTCTAGTTAACTTTGTCCTTTCTTACTATTCTTTATTCCCTCTTGTGATTCTACCTTCTCTGCCTCGTCTGCACCATTCCTCCCTGTTTCAAACTTCCCCTTCCCACCCCTTCACCTCCACTTAAATTGGTCACCCATTGGCTGTCACCGTGACAGACCTTGCCTTTGACCAATCAGGATTGGTGTCTTGGGGAGGAGGGTCCTTGCTCTCTGTACTCACCACCCACTGTCTACAAGTCCCATTCCCTCTTCAACCACACTATTCCCTTTAGACAAGTAAGATAACCTCTCCTCTTGTTTCTGTCCTGCCCCTTTCTTTTTGTGAGTTCAGTGTACTTTATGTTCTTGTGGTTTTTGGAAAGATAATCCTGCTATAGGAGTGGTGCAGGAATGAGTCCTCAAACTAGGAAATGAGTTATCGTTTTAGCACTTCTGGTTCCCTCAGAAGTCAATGGACTATAGAAAAGTTTTTGGTTGGAAGCCTGAAAGGACTGTGGTTAACACACGCTTACACATTATCAGGTTTGGTTCTACGACAAACTAAGTCATTAAATACCAGACTTGTGAATATCCGAAACTTCTATGAATACAGCGTTTGCTAACAAGTGTCTTATGGCGCATTTCCACTGCAGCGCGTAGCACGGTTTAAGCGTGCCGTGCCAAACCCGGCCCGTTTTTTGTTGCGTTTCCACTAGGGGTAGTTCCGGCTAACGGGTACCGTTTCACCGTTTTTCTGGCTCTCCAAAATCGTGGTTCTTTCCGGGCCAACAACCGGGCTGAATATGCTAAACTAGTGACGTGAGTGGCTACAACTACAACACAATGAACATATTTGACCGTGATTTAATTGTAATACACGTTTCAAAATGATGCCGAAGTAACAACATACTGATACCGGTTAGTAAAAACCATGAATTAATGCTTTGACAAGTCTGCAGACAGACAGCAGGCGAAAAACCTTTTAAAATGCGTGTTTTCTAAATGGAGATTGGCTAAGCTAACGTTGTATACGCTCCGACCGTCCACACTCACAACAACGGCCTATACAGACATAAATAAACCAGCGACTGTATTCACCATGACACAGGCAGTCTGTGGTTTGTACTTGTTTCACTTTTGTCTAGTTTCTGAACACAGGGTTCCCGCGGGGTCTTAAAAAGTCTTAAAAAGTCTTAAATTTGATAATCTGAATTTAAGGCCTTAAAAAGGTCTTAAATATGACCAAAAAAATAAGAAAGGTCTTAAATATGATTTAGAAGGTCTTAAAAATGATCGGATTTGAAAGGTACTTCTGTGTTGAGATCGCGTCTAAATGTGTTTTGGGGGAAATGTCCGGGCTGCAAAGTAACCAGTACGGTAAGAGCCTTTCAGTTCCCCCCAACAATTTGTATTGAAATAAATCAACATGGAACCAGTAATCACTAACTTTGTTTCCCCCGGCCCCTTATTGGAGAACACCCAGCTAGTAACCTAGCAAGCTTCAGCTAGCGGCAGTCAGAAACTCATGTATCTTAGAATCTACTTAAAAATAAATATGGGGAAGTGTAAGTTCAACCGTATTTGGTTGGAAAACATCGAATTTAGTGCTTGGTTGAAACCAGTGGAGGGGAACGTGTTTGAAGCCCGCTGCACCTTTTGCAAAAGAAAGTAGCGTATGCTAATGTAGCGTTAGCTAGTGCAGCAGCTCCTGCAACAACACCGGCGGACCTCTGGGCGACGTTTGGGTGTATGTCAACCCTAAAAGCGGAGGTGCCGTAGACGCTAAATACCGTAGCTAAACACCAATCATACAACAGCAACGATGAAAGATTGTAGCCAAGGCAGCAGAGCTCTGAATATAGCTCTTGTCTGTCTGTCTCTGTCTCTGTCTCTGTCTCTCTCTCTGTCTCTCTCTCTCTCTCTCTCTCTCTCTCTCTCTCTCTCTCTCTCTCTCTGTCTGTCTGTCTGTCTGTCTGTCTGTCTGTCTGTCTGTCTCTTTTTAACTGTTGATTACCCTGAACGTATAATTCAACTGCAAAACCAATACAAAAATAAATTAAATAAATTATACATTTAAATAAATAATATCAAAATAATAAATACCAATAAACAAGATCAACAAATATTTTGGAGCGCACTTCCACAAGCTACTAAACATATATAAATATGATAAATACAAATAAATTAGACTAAAATTAATTAGATCAAATATGTTGTAGTGCACTGTCACAACCGAGCAAAGCTAAATAATTTCGTAATTGTGGCAGGCCAAAATCGTAATTGCGATTTAAAATACGATTAATTGCACACCCCTAACACACACACACAAGCACACACAGACACATACACTTTTTGTCTAACACGCTAACACAGTTCTGTTATGCCTTTACATTTACTTTGTAAGTAATTATGGGACGTATTTCTTCTTTCATAGCAATTTTCCTTCATACTTTCTTGCCGTGAAATAGGTCTTAAATTCTATTCAAAGTGGTCTTAAAAAGGTCTTAAAAAGTCTTAAATTTGAGTAGGCGAAACCTGCAGGAACCCTGTGAACAGATATGAGGAGCTGTGAGCTCTGAGTGCTAACAGCTAACGGCTGATGTTGGTTTTGTGGTTCGCATTGAAGATGACGTCACGGCTCCGCCTACACTGCGTTACTATAGTTACTGCCCCAGCTACTAAACTGTAATGGAAACGCAGCATAAAGTGAGCCTGGCCTAACAAGGCCTATCTATACCGTACTAAGCCGTGCGAGGCCCTGCAGTGGAAATGCGTCATCCCTGCACCACTCTTTCAAACCCCTTAATTGTCGTCCTCCAGTTTGTCGTGTTCTGTGTAATCTGTACGTCTTGTCATGTATATTTCTCCACTGCTATGGGTCCTCTCATGGTCTAAATTTCCATCTTGGATCTCAGGGCGGTCACAATATCTTTGGCAACAGCGGAGGGATGGCTCAGTCAAGACACCCGCCAAGTGTCCCACCCTTAAACCAGTCCCCAGGGATACGAGCGCAAGTGCCTCATCAGTTCCTGTCACCTCAGGTACTGATGCTTTACCTTTTTATTTAGAGATCACTTTTTTTGACACACAAATGCAGATGATGTTTATACTGTGCACACAAACATTTGCTGACTTGGGGCACTTTCTTGTCAGACATCTTCTTAGTTACTTTGTCTCCAAAAAGCAACGTGCACAAAAAATCACAATCGTGCAAGAAAACTGCAATTGCTGCATCTCTTTTATTCTGTTCTTCTCAGCTCTCTGCGTGTTTCACACACATTGACACAGGAAGTTTGTGGGTTGACTGTCAGTGTTCAGCAGCGTTGGTTTTATGCGAGTCATCTTCACAGGTTTATTTTTCTGCTAAGTCATCCATTTAAATAACTTGCAACATGGAAATTAGTTCAACTTGTTGCAATGCCACTATTCCTGCGGCTCCTCTTGTTATGATCATCGTTTACATCTATATAGCTGGGGCATTTCTAGCTCGGTGCAGTTCACATTTACTGATTTTAAAGTGGGAAGTGTTGACGGAGAAGCTGTCATTTGTAAATTGGCTTCTATTGTGATTAACACAGTAAATACAGATCCTACAAAGGGCTTGATTGCGTACTTCACACACTTGTGTCAGTGCTGTGAACTCTCTGACATAGTGTGAATCTGTGTGAGCTTACTGGCTGTGTGTGTATTAGTCAGTGTGTGTTAGGCCACGTTTACACGGAGACGAAAACGAACCGATGTCAAAAAAGTCTTCCGTCCACACGGAATCGACTCAAGAAACGTGTCCGTCCACACGAGACCGCTCGACCCGCTGGAGACGCTGTAGTACATATGCCGGGCCTGTAAGTGGCGCTGTACTTCCGCCACAAAATACACCGAAAGCAGCGAAGAAGACCCCCCCCCCCCCCCCCCCCCCGAGCATGGTTGCCATGGTTGCCTGGTTGCCCTTCTGTTTATTCTCCGCGGTGGATTTAGCAACATGTAGTTCATGTAGTTCTCCATGTCCACTTGTTGCTGATGGTTGTGGTAGAGGAGCTGTAGATGTTGCACTAACATCTGTATCGTGGTCAGTAACGTCAGGATCACGAAAGCAACCCTGTGATCCACCATTGTTGTTGTTGTTGGCGAAACACATCAGCAATGACGCGGGTAGTGTTGGGCAAGTTACTTCCAAAATGTAATACATTACATATTACTTATTACTAGGGTTGCAAAATTCCGGGAATTTTCAAAGATGGAAACTTTCCATGGGAATAAACTGGGAATTTTCTAAATTGAAGGTTGGCTCTTCATAGGGAACTTAAATATAGCTGGGGAAAGTACATTTTAGCATAATCTTGACTAAAACAAACAGATGCCATTCAAGTACACTTGAATATCCATGCCATAGCACACTGCTTACTGCATGGCTATTGAGACCACACCCCCTACAGGCACTGTGCATTCCTCCATCACATGCACAGATGAGTAATATTTAACTCAACATTCCTGTTTTCGTTCTTCAATGAAACAAATAATTGTTAAATAAAATAATTAAAACTTGTTCTGTACTTAAAACATTATTATTATTTTTTTTTTTAATCTGTTGAAATGTCATGTTTTTTGTTTAATTTTGCATGGAATATTTCCAAAATTCCCCAGCTTAACTTCCCATGGAAACTTTCCGGAAATGTTCCGCCCCTTTGCAACCCTACTTATTACTGTCTTTTTAAAGTAATAAGTTACATTACAATATTACTGTCTCTGAAATGTAATGAGTTACACTACTTTTATATTACTTTTGAGTTACTTTCACCAAAATAACCGCAAAAGAATGGCTAGGTATTTTAAATGCTAAAATGTAGTTTAGTGCAGCTCATTATACATCCAGTGAAGGGCGATGTGGTATAGCATAACAACTGTGTAGGCCATTAAGGCTACTAACAACTTTTATTACACAGCTTAGTTGAATACTCGATTCTGATTGTAAATTCTTAACATGTGACACGTTGTTAATACAGTACAGACCACTGTCAAGGACTATAATGAAGGTTGCTAAGGAGGATCAAGAAAGAGAAAGGAAAAGAGGTTAAAAGACGGAGCGCTGGACGTCAGATGAATCACCAGAAGAAGGCAGAGAGGAAGTAAACAACAGGAACACGGAATGGGCTCTGTAGTCTGTTTAGTATATGGCCATGTACAGGCCCGGTTCCAAAACAAAATGACTTGGGGTGCCTCTGACATTACAGGGGGCGCAGCAGTAGTAGGTTTACGTGAGCAATAGTGGTCGGCAACAGTAATGAAAAATAGCATTGATGTTATTATGGTCCCCAATGAACAGATTATGGCATTTGTTATGTTTTGAAACCAAGCAAGTGAGAACATTTCAAGTGTGTTAAAAGTGCAATCCTGAAATATTTCACATAGTCCAAAGTGGACTATGCATGGGAAAGAAAAACACAAAAGCTTCAAAACTGTACTGATAAAACAAATGAGAACATATTGTAAATCAAGGCAAATATGATTTGAACCAGCTCATGGTTTGAAATGGCAAACATTGAAAGGCAAAAGTATTATTAAAACCATGTACTACATCATCACCGTGGTCCCATCATATACTCTGGGAAGAGAATATTTACTGTGCTTGAAAACTGGTATCACATCACCATGTGAGGTTGACTTTGTGACCTGGAGAACATTTCAGCTGCAACATCAGCTTGTTGATAAGCTTGGGATATGAGATCTTTTTGTAGCCATTCGTGGTGAAGGCATCTGCTATTGTACGCATTATTTGATCCAACATTTCTACAGGCATGGCAGAATATGGCACTATTTTTACATGAATATTCTAGCCATTGTCTATTTTTATACCACGAGCTGCAAAATGACCGCCTTACCCCACTGTACAGGCGGGTACTTGTTTAGATATACCTGGGCAGGCTCTGTTTTGCCGTGGTATCCTGGCACCTGCGGGCCGCAGAGGGGCGGCGTAGTTTCGGGTGACGAAGACTCCTGCTCCGGGGGCGAGGGCGGCGAGTCAGGCGGGAGTAAGCTAGTGTCCACATCATTGGAAATGATGCACGCGCAGCGGAGCAGGTCACGCGTACCTGACACAATTTGTTTGTATTTTTCGCTCCGTTCCCTTTTTTGAACAGAGGGTGCATAACATTCAACTGGGGGTGCAATGCATGCCTATGCACCCCCGAAGATCACGACGCAAAGCCTGAAGGGTAAACATCAGGTTTACTAATCTACCCGCTAGGGCTGCTCAATTAATCGTATTTTAATCGCAATTACGATTTTGGCTTGCAACGATTATGAAAACAACATAATCGAAATAAAACAATTTTTTTTTTTATTTTTTTTTTTTTTTATATTATAATTTTTTTATTGTTTTTTCAGTTGAATTATACTTAAAGTTCAGGGTAATCAACTGTTAAAAACATACTGTTCAATTTTCTTTTTTCAATAAATGGATGTTTTCAAAGTAAATGGATAATCGTTTTTAATAATCATGATATCAATTATTGACCCAAATAATCGAGATTATGATTTTTGCCATAATCGAGCAGCCCTACTACCCGCACAATTTTTCTCTGGTGTCGGAATGTCTCGCGATGTTGGTACATTCTTAAAAAACAAAACACCATTTCATTTCGGGTTAAAATGTGTTGTAACTGCGTTACTGAGAATTGTAACTGGTAGTATATTACCCAAATTTCATTAGTAATGCGTTACTTTTTGCTGTAACAAAGTAATGTAATACATTACTGTAGCTCCGTTACTTTTGTAATGCGTTACACCCAACACAGGAGGTGGGGAGAGGCGGGGCTATGGCGTCATCGTTATCAGGAAATGATTGCATAGCGTTTCGCCCGCAGATCTACCCACCTTGGGAGCCGTTATTGTTTGAGGGCTCGTGTGAACGAACCGTCCATACGATGGAGAACTGTAGCGGATACAACCCGTTTCGTCTCCGTGTAAATGGGGCCTTAGTCAGTGTGTGTGTTAGTCAGTGCGGTCCCATGAGTGCATAATCTCTCTGCAGAAAAACATTGATCACGTTTACACATTTACTTGAAGGAGAATCAATGCTAATCGGGGGGTGGGGGCACTAAGTTAATGTGGTCGCTAGTGGTTACAGCACTGAGGCGTTTCTGTGGTAACAGGTGTGCCTCGTCTCTGTCTCCAGGTGCCAGGCTCCGTGCTGAAGCAGATGCCGCCTCCCACCGGCAGCGTGGGTGGTGTTGGCGGCGTGGGAGGAGTGGGGGGGGTCGGGGGAGGTGTGTTCCCTCCACAGCTGTCCCCCCAGCATATTGCCATGCTCAGCAGCATCTACCCTCCGCACATCCAGTTCCAGCTGGTGAGAATCAGCACTTATACATCTCTCAGAGTCACGGCAGAGGTCTGCTGAGTCCGGGATAAAGGGAGGAATTATGACGTCATTTCTCAGTCCTGTGCATTATCGGAATTTCACAAAGAATTAAAGCAAATAAGATGTTTTAAAAATCTTTAATATAATAATAATAATCGTATATGTGTGTTTATTCACATACTCGTGTATATATATATATTTTCTGGCACTTGCTAAATAGGACTCCAATTCCATTATATTTCATTAAGCTAACCTTATCCAAAGTGACTTCATAAAGCGCAATAAATATTATAGATACAAATTCAGAATAGCAAAAATCATACAAGTACATTAGTTTAAATGAAACCCAAACTAATTTGTTTCCAGTAACGCACAATAAATGACAGCAGTCTGGCTAAAAGGCCACAATAGTTTTCCTACATGCCCTGAAAAACGAAATAAATGTGTCAAATAAAACGTGTAGACTTGGTAATAAAGATACAGAATCTCAATAGGACAATTCCTGGTAAAAATAAAATAAAACAAGCAGAAATTCACGACAGCTGCAACCATGTGGGCAAGTCCATCTGCACACGTTTGAAGATACAATTGCATTCTTGTGAGCTCTGACTCGGCACCCACATATTCAGATTTCATTATTTCCTCCCAGTGGAGCCAACAAAATGCCACGTGGGTCTGTCATTGAACGTCTTCAAATGTAGTTTTTTTTATCTCTGTTGAGTCTCACTCATCTTGTATCGTTTTGTCCGTGTTTGTTCAGGCCTGTCAGCTCCTCCTCCAGCAGCAGCCTCAACAGCAGCAACAGCAGCTGCTGCAGAACCAGAGGAAGTTCCCACCAAATGTGCGGCAGCAGGCTGACCCTCAACAGGTAAACATCAAAGATTCAAAGGTTTTATTGTCATATGCACAAAGCTACAGTGTAGAAATGAAATAGAATAGAATATATCTTTATTGTCATCGTACAAAATACAACGACATTTCTTTGGCGACTCTCACTGCAGTAAAAAATAGACACAAATAAATAAATAATTGGTAAAAGCAGAGGTAGTAACGAGATAAAATTAAATGTCAATGAGCATATTTAGACCCCGTCCACACGGAGAGGAAACGGGTTGTATCCGCTACAGTTCTCTATCGTATAGACGGTTCGTCCACACGAGGCCGACACGGAAATGCGGATAACGATAACGGCTCCTAAGGTGGGTAGATCTGCGGACGAAACGCTCTGGAGGGCCAAACGGCTCCGTGTGTACGTACGCCCTATACGATCATTTCCTGATAACGATGAAGCCATAGCCCCGACTCTCCCCACCTCTGCTGCTCACCCCCGCGTCATTGCTGATGTGTTTCGCCAACAACAACAACAATGGTGGATCACAGGGTTGCTTTCGTGCTCCAGACGCTACTGACCATGCTACAGATGTTAGTGCAACATCTACAGCTCCTCTACCACAACCATCAGCAACAAGTGGACATGGAGAACTACATGAACTACATGTTGCTAAATCCACCACGGAGAATAAACAGAAGGGCAACCAGGCAACCATACTCGGGGGGGTCTTCTTCGCTGCTTTCGGTGTATTTTGTGGCGGAAGTACAGCACCACTTACAGGCCCGGCATATGTACTACAGCGTGTCCAGTGGGTCGAGCGGTCTCGTGTAGACCAAGCCCCCAGGAAGTGCGCCGGACTCTGAGGAAAATATTCGTTGTGGCCAAACGTGTATTTCTAACTGTGTGTTCATAAAGGGTTATAGTAACCAACGGATGCAAGTAAAGTAGCTATAAATATTTTTAAATTCTTCTGACCTGAGCTCCTCCAACAATGCAACATATATAATAAAATACAAAATAAAAAGTAGTGCAAAAAGTCTCTATACATGTAAATAGAATATGAAATTAAATAATGTAAATTAAGACAAAATGTAATACGGTTTATTAAATACGGTTTTTTGCACCTACAAAAGACCAGTGGATGGATATTATAAGAGAGGTATATATAATGGAAAAAATGACTTACCAACTTACCAAATACCAAATTGATCATTTATGACACTGTGGAAAAAGGCATATGCTTTTCAGGAGACTACACAATATATCTGTATGCAAATTGTAACCATGACTGTTGAATTTCAGTTTGATGTTTATTTTATTTATTTCATTGTCTTTTATTTATGATCTTGTACTTGTGCTTTCTATCAGTTATAAGCCAAGAAAAAGCCACAGCAGGGTGTCCGCGGGGTCTTAAAAAGTATTAAAAGTTGATAAATCAATTTAGCGCAAATTAAGGCTATTAAAAAGTATTAAACGGCATTTTCCAAGGTATTACATTTTGTAGCTTGTTTTCAATAAGTATATAAATTGTCCAAAGAGGTTGTATTCTACAGTCTGCCTGAATGTAATCATTGCGTAGGTGTGTAGTGTGATTCTGTGTAGTTTATTTATGGCATCCCGTTGGATTTGACGTCATCTGAACAGGACATCGCACGCTCACTGCTTGATAGCGAGCGCAGGTCCGTTTACGCCGGTTGTTAAACAGCATCGTTATGGGGAAATGCAAGTCTGCGTCCAAATGGTTGGAAGATAAGGAGGAAGGACAATCAATACTGTATATAGTGAATGTGAGGTAAAGTGTGTCGCCAAGGTAACCGGTTAGAACTCGAAGTGGCGATGAGGTCTTAATGTTTGGAAAGGGTCTTAAAAAAGGTCTTAAAAGGTTTTACATTCAACTTCAGGATTCCTGCATATACCCTGCACAAGAACAATCTGATTTTTCTGTTTTGTTTCTCCATTATGTACAAATGTAACTAAAAAAAAAACCCGGTTTATTGCGGTGATAAACTCACTCATCCATCAGCTCTCAACTTGCTCCTTCCAGCTGCTGACTTGTTTTTGTCGTGTCTTCTCAGCTGGCCCGGATCATGGCGGTGTTGCAGCAGCAGAGGCAGCAGCAGCAGCAGGCCGGAGGTTTAGGCAGCAGCTCCAAACTCTCCCCATCCCATCACGGTGGGGTTGGCGGTCCCAAACTGCCCGGGGCCGACTCCCTGCCTCATCCTGGCCTCGCTGCATCCGTGGCTGACCTGCACCAGAAAAACCTCGGCCCTTATTCCGGTGAGTGCTGATTTACAGACAGTTTTTATTATTATATTTAGAGAACGTAGTGCACTTGGCTGTTTTAAATGTCAGGTCCTCGTCAGGCAAGTCACTTTTAATTAATTATTTTATTAACAATTATAGCCTTAACTTCATGTCTGAAAATATGCTATATAAATAAACGTACCTTACCTACCTTATACAAATTGAATGTATTGTCTTTGCCCTTTTCTAGATATCAAAGGTGCAATGTGTAAGATACTTAAATGTACTTAAGTAAAAAGTACCCATAACTACCAGCTGTTTTAAAGAGTACCTGACCTCCCTTTATATTAATAGAACAATAATGTCATTGTTAGCTAATGAATGTTTCCATGCTGAACAACGGCAACATGACAACGTTTTCATTGGTCCCTCTTCTTTAGAGAAGACCAGGAAATGATGGATACACGGATCGTGTTCAAATCAATAGGCACGCAATGACTCTAAATAATAATGATCACGCCACCAAACACACATTCAAACTAAAGGAACCAGCCTGTTTGGGAAATGTGAGAAGTAGAAAGTACAGGTATTTGTGTTCAAAATGTAAGAAGTAGAAAGTACAGGTATTTGTGTTCAAAATGTAAGAAGTAGAAAGTACAGGTATTTGTGTTCAACATGTGAGAAGTAGAAAGTACAGGTATTTGTGTTCAACATGTAAGAAGTAGAAAGTACAGGTATTTGTGTTCAAAATGTAAGAAGTAGAAAGTTCAGGTATTTGTGTTCAAAATGTAAGAAGTCAAAGTAAAAAGTCGTCAGAAAAATAAGTAGTGGAGTAAAGTACTGGTACCAGAAAAATGTACTTAAGTACAGTAACGAAGTATTTGTACTCCACTACTTCCCACCTCTGAAAATAACCCTCTGTGTGTCTTTGTGAGCAGGGTTTGGTTCTGGGGTGAACCTCCCGGGTCTGGACATGGGCGGCTCCTCTGTGGGGGGTCCGGGGGGCATGAAGGACCTCGGGATCCAGCAGTCACGCTTCAAATGGATGATGGAGGGCCACTCGTCCCCGGACACCTCCTCCCCTGAGAACGCATTCCACAAAAACGGTGAGATTCCCCCCTATATTTAAAGGTTACCTATTACGCAAAATCCACTTCTCCATGTCTCTACAAAGATTCTCTCTCTTTTTGTCCTGATCCATTTCTATAAAAACCCGTCTGAAAATGAGCTGATCAGATTTTGGCCACTTTATGATGTCATAACGATGTTTTGTCTTGTGTAACCATTAGCCAATCACCAACCAAGGTAACCCCCCCCCCCCCCCTCCCCCCTTATCACCTGAATCTCCTCCTAGAGCGCCATTGTGTTCTTTTGAACCAAATCTCTCTCAGAGGGGCGTGGGGAGGGGCTCCTTATTTTCATCTAAAGTAACAGACAGAGAATCAGCACTTTTGAAACAGGGCTGAAACAGAGGGGATTATGGGATGCTGCAATGATCTGTTTGGTGTTTGGAGCCAAACACTTCAGAGACATGTTTTGTATATATCTGAGACCTATAATATATTGATGTAAAACAGTATAATAGGGGACCTTTAATGTGTTTTGATAAGAGCTGGAGTGAAGCCACGCTGAGGCAGATTGTGTTAATGGGGGTTAGATGTGAAGTCGCATATTAATGTGATATGAAACCATCTGTTGTTCAGTGATGTGTCATACATTATCATCACCCTGCAGGTCCCGTCACTCCTATGAAGATGCCGGGGGGCTCTCCCTACTCTCAGTACGATATGATGGTTGGAGACGGGCTGGGAGACAACTGGCATCGCACCCCTGGCAACAAGATGGGCCCAAAGCCCCCCCCCACGCCCAGCTGGCCCCCTGGTGAGTGACTTATTAAAGTCAAAGAGATAACCTGAGATAAAGAATCCCACAGGGTTAAGACATAAGTAGAGATGGACAAATTCATCGGCCATTGGTTAGTCTTGTATGCATTTTTGCCGGCCATTTCTACACAGGTCATGTGCCACATAATGGTTTATGCAGTGGTGCAATGTAACCAAGTATATGTACTCAAGTATTGTACTTTAGTGCAGATTTAAAGGTATTTTCTTTTCGTAGGTACTTTTTTTACTTCGTTTTAAAAATATTATGTGTTCTTAGACTAATTAGACAACAGTTAACCAGGTACCGGGTGCAAAACGCAACATCTTGCAAGAAACAGCGTCTGAGGGCTTCTTAACATTTAACAACTATGAATGTGTCATACCCACTTAACAGGAAGAAACTCAGCTATCGGACAATATTAACAATTTTTAGCAAAACGAAACACAAGGGTAATAGCAAAGGCTCTGAATTAGCCCTGAGCGAAAAAATGCTAACGCACTTAGCACAGAACTCACGGTAGATGTTACGAAACCCACTAGGGATGAGGAAGGTAACACACACCAGATGGTTTTGTTAAATAATTATAATAGGGTTTAATGAGAGCAAAGGTAGCCTAAGCAAAACAAACAAGCCAAAAGGGGCGCAGATCCACTGCTAGTAACAGAAAGAGGACTCTACAGATGAGCCTAGTTAACACACCTGAGATCACTTCCAATCCACACTGATGGAAGGAGGCTGCAGGAAAACGCAGCTAACAAGGAAACCAAACAAGCTACTCTAAACACATATATCAGCACGCTACTCTAAGCACACATATATCAACACGCTACTCTAAACACATATATCAACACGCTACTCTAAACACATATATCAGCACGCTACTCTAAGCACACATATACACACGCTAAACACACATCACTAAACACAGATCACAAGAGTCAAACACAGTCTACTAGCTCAAACCTGAAGTGTCCACGACACAGGAGCAAAATGTGTGAGGCGTCTGATCGCAGCAGAGCCTCCCGAGTGTTAATTGTCCCCAGGCTTTGTAGTCATCTCCGGAAGGTGTGCGCTGGGATTGCACGGGGATTGGAGCGCGTCGGGCCTGGCGTGCTCCAATCAGTGTCTTCGGAGGCGGACCAGGAAATGGTAGCCAATGACGTTGGGGCAACCACACAGCTCATTTACATAAGGACCAGCAACACAGAATTAACAGGACCGGAGAGGCGACGGCCGTCAATATGTTATACTTCATCGGTTCTGCACAAACAAGATATCAAATGAAAGCTGAGATTACACAGATTATAATGGTATAAGTATCATCACTGTGCGACCAGAACTCAGGGCTGCGAAGGCGAAACCAGACAACACACAATTTAGCTTTACGGGGCCAAAACGGCAAATACGTCTTACCTTTGCTTTTTTCTCATCAAATGTTTTTTCAATGGCATTAAAACGCATTAAAAACGCTGCTGAAGGTTAATCCATAGGTTAATCCAATGTGTCTGTGTCACTTTGAAATGATTTCTGATAATCAATCATCATATTTATGGCAAAAACTGAGTTTTCATATTAGCTGCTACGAGAGTGTATGACAGCTTCCGGTTTTGGGCATTCTGGCTACGCATCACTCTATTCACCAATGGGTAATGTTTAGATGGATTTTTAGGAACTATCCCTCGATTCTATTGGCTCTAACGGTTCAAAAGAGGTGTCAATCATCAAAATCGACCGATGGGTTCCAGAAATATGGAAAATGCACCCAAATGACCCCAGAAGTGTTTTTTTGTTGATAAACCTCTCTAAAAAGGTCAAAGGTCAAATGTCACTTGTTTTGCATCAATGTTGATACAGGGTACTTATTATATGTTATAGTTTGGATTCTACTACCCCATCATTCAAGGGTGGTTTTCACTATAAGTAATGTTGTTTTTTTTTGGACGGACACTATAATTTACATGTTTTTACTATGTTCAATCTGAATTTACTTTAAAATAAAAACATCTATATTGGTTCTGACTTTTCTTCATCCAACTCACAGGTTTATCATTACTTTGAGAAAACAGATTATTAATTTAACCCTTTTAGAAGTGAAGTTATGGTCATTTGTTCTGGGCATGTCATTTTCGAGCCTGAGACCTGAAAACAGGCTCAGGGCTTAACAGGTTAATACGACAATAGCTGAAAGATGAATTAGTTGCTGAGAAAGAAATCATTAGCATCTTAAAACATTTAACTTCTTTTTAAAAATGTTGAGTTTTTTTGGGGTGTTTTTATTTTATTTTTCAGCCTTGGGTACTTTTGCATTTGATAGTTTATTTTTATTTTTCTGCTTTGGCCTCCAGAACAAGGTAATGGTTTTTCCTGCTTTGTAAAAACTGTCTTTAATGGACCACTTGTTTCTTCTCCAGAGTTTCAGCCGGGTGTTCCCTGGAAAGGGATCGACCGGGTCGACCCTGACTCTGACCCCTACATGACCCCAGGGAGCATGATGGGAAATGCAGTGTCCCCCAACCTCAATGATAGTGAGCACCAGTTGTTACAAGACAATACTGGTGAGCATTTAACTGCCTTTGTTTTCATTATGATTACACCATATCTACCATTGTTTGTTATACACAATAGTATTTAAAGCAAATAAACAAGTATCAGTAGTTCTGAATGAGTTGCTAACAAAGTTGGTGTGTCGGTGTTTGCAGATTCCACCCCTCCCCTCAACACCTTGCTGCCTTCACCTGGTGCCTGGCCCTACAGTGCCTCAGACAGTCCCCTCAACAACGCACACAACTCAGGTAACCACACACACTTACACACACACACACACACTTTTTATTTTTTTTGTACCTGCTGTATTTCACTACCAGTATGAAACTCCTGCAGAGCCTCATTGACTTTTCTGTTCCCTAGCAGCAAAGTACACAGACTACAAGACCAGCTGGCCCCCAGAGCCCATCGGACACAAGTCCTGGAAAGCTAACCGTGGCAGCAGCCAGATGTCCCAAATGTCCCAAATGTCACAGATGTCCCAGATGTCCCGCATACCTCCAGGCCTCGCCAGCCAAAAGCAGCCATCGCCTTCCCCCTGGTCCGGAGGAGCTCCTCGCCTGGCGGGCCGCGGCTGGGGCGGCAGCTCGAGTTCCACTGGTAATGTCCCCACGCTTTTAACATGTTTATTTCACGTTGTCCCTTGCTTGTTGAAACATTCATCTGATTTAAAATGTTCGCAGGAGGTAAAACAACTGTAGGAAAGAACACAGCGCTCTTTAGAACTTAAGAGTGCATTTATATTTGATTTGTAAGAGTCGAAAAAGCCCTAAGGGAAGCACCAGGGAAAGTCATTCAATATTTATTACATTTGAGAAGCCGAGAGGGAAAACCGATGTGTTTACAGGGAATGTGGAAAACTCTCATTCATATTTTTTTTTCCTGTTTGTTCCCTTTTTCCGTCTGCAGCCTCAACCTGGAGTGACGGCAGCTCCCGTGAAAGCTGCTGGTTGGTGCTCAGCAACCTCACACCGCAGGTAAATACACACACACACACACACACACACACACACACACACACACACACACACACAGGCTCACACACTCACACTTTCCAAAAACAACTGCCGAGACGTCTGTGCGAGCAAAATGTAATCCCTGAACTCTTGGGCTATGAAAATGTAGCTTGAAGTTAGTCCATAACCCTGATAAAAAATGTGTTATCCAACTCCAAAAGAAGTCTGCGCAGATATCCGCTAATTCGCTGAAACCCTATGAAGTATAAGCGATAACCAATGTTTTTTGTTTGTTTTGTGAACCAATCATAAATGGGGCAGTACACATTTTGTCAACCTTGACCCATCGTTCTTCCATTTAAGTTCACCTTGTCCATCTTGTGTTTCCTGCAGATTGACGGCTCCACTCTGCGGACCATCTGCATGCAGCACGGCCCTCTGCTGACCTTTCACCTCGGCCTGACGCAGGGCACCGCTCTGATTCGCTACGGCTCCAAACAGGAGGCGGCCAAGGCCCAGAGCGCACTCCACATGTAAGACTACAGTCATTTCTTAGTGACATCTTCATATTTTCACTCTCTCCTCTAAATGGTCAAATTGGAACTAGTATCCTCTTAAAATCCCTAATAAATATTTGTACATATCGGAGTAGGGCTTTCACAATGTCAGATTATACACAGCTAATGGCGCATTTCCACTGCAGGGCCTCGCTCGGCTTAGTACGGTATAGTTAGGCCTTGGTAGGCCAGGCTCACTTTATGCTGCGTTTCCATTACAGTTTAGTAGCTGGGGCAGTAACTATAGTAACGCAGTGTAGGCGGAGCCGTGATGTCATCTTCAATGCGAACCACAAAACCATTAGCCGTTAGCTGTTAGCACTCAGAGCTCACAGCTCCTCATATCTGTTCAGAAACTAGACAAAAGTGAAACAAGTACAAACCACAGACTGCCTGTGTCATGGTGAATACAGTCGCTGCTTTATTTATGTCTGTATAGGCCGTTGTTGTGAGTGTGGACGGTCGGAGCATATACTGCGTTAGCTTAGCCGATCTCCATTCAGAAAACACGCATTTTTAAAGGTTCTTCGCCTGCCGTCTGTCTGCAGACTTGTCAAAGCATTAATTCATGGTTTTTACTAACCGGTATCAGTATGTTGTTACTTCGGCATCATTTTGAAACGTGTATTACAATTAAATCACGGTCAAATATGTTCATTTTGTTGTAGTTGCCAGCGATTCTCTCACTAGTTTAGCATACTCAGCCCGGTTGTTGGCCCGGAAAGAACCTGGATTTTGGAGAGCCAGAAAAACTGTGAAAAAGTACCCGCTAGCCGGAACTACGCCTAGTGGAAACGCAACCAAAAACGGGCCCGGCACGGCACACTTAAACCGCGCTCTGCGCTGTAGTGGAAATGCGCCATAAGTGTAGTGAGAGAGAGTCTTGTGGGAGGCACTGTAATTAAAGTTTGAGTGAATTTCAAGCTATTAACTGCTATACATGTCGTTATAACATTGATCAATTCAAGCCATATTCATGATACTGAGTCTGGCAACAAGTACATCTATGTAATCTTTACATAAAAAGAAAGCAGAATCTCATAAAAACAAGAATTTGTATCCCATCACATTTTCTTTACGGTATAAAGTATTATAAAACCCAGCGTAAATTGCACATTTGAATTGTCCAGAAGTAATTGTATCCCCACTAAAGAGATACTGACAGATTCTCCTCTTTACATCAGGTGTGTTCTGGGTAACACCACCATCTTGGCGGAGTTTGTGAGCGAGGAGGACGTGGCTCGCTACATTGCACATTCCCAGGCAGGAGGAGGAGGAGGAGCAGGGAGCGGAGGAGGAGGAAACCCCGCCAACTCTTCAGGCTCCGGGCCCACATCCTCCTCCTCCTCCGCTGTGGGGGCCAACGGTAACGGAGGAAGCTGCGATAGAAGTGGAGGAGGAGGTAATAATGGAGGAGAAGGAGGAGGAGGAGGAACAGCAGGAAATGGAGGCGGGGCTTCCAGCTCCGGGTGGCAGAGTCTGGACAGCACAGGCAGCTCTTCGGACCAGACCTCCACCCAGGGGCCCGGTTTGGGGGTCTACTCCCAGTGGAGCAGCAACGGGACCGTGGTGGGGGGGGCTGGAGGCGTGGAGGCCGGGCGGCAGGGTCTGTGGGGGGGGATGAGCGGGCCGGGGTACCCCAGCACCAGTCTCTGGGGGACCCCCGCCCTGGAGGATCGGCACCAGATGGGCAGCCCCGCTTCCCTGCTGCCGGGGGACCTGCTGGGAGGGGGGGGCCGACTGACACATTTTTAAGTTGTGATGTCACACTCTGTATTTATTTACACGTAGAGATGACATGAATTAAAGCTACATTGGTCACCCAGCAGTCAAACTACACACACACATTCATTAAGCCGCTTTAACTTTAAATGAAGACAACAGTAAAACTTGAACTTGGAAATCCATTAAACTCTGTAACTGGATAGCTCTTCGGTCATTTTACTCCGAATCCCATCGCTCAGAGACCCGATCACTCAGGCATGCACTGTAGACAGGCTCAGCCAGAGTCGTACAAGTTTAGCTATTGCTGTTTTTAGTGTGCCACAATTTACTTTCTTTTGTATTACTATGTAATCTCAAAAAAACAAAAATGTCAGACTTGCAGACTGAGCCCTCGTAGACCTGGCTGGCGTTCTTCAAAGTTCTCATGTTTGGAGGGGAAGGATCTGGAGTTTGTAGAGGAGATTTTTTGGGGGGGGGGACAGCGCCACACTACTGAGTCAAACGGACGATCAGCAGAGAGAAGAAAAGTGTCTTTTTTTAAGTAGGTACCGACACCTTGGTGGAAATATGCCATCAACATGGGACCCAGGGTAAAAAAAACAAAATATCAAAACAGAAACAACATTAGCCAAACTTGCACTATATGCCTCTGGGTTTGTTGTTGACACATCCTCCACAGATCCCTCCATTCTTTTTAAAACAGAGCTTCAAAACAGGACGACTTAATGTTACAACAGCAGTGGCCTTGGCTCAAAACCAGCGGCCACGTCAGCAGCCTTCACACCGTTCATCAGTTCCACACTGCTCTTATATTTGACAAGCGAAATTGTATCTCCTCGTTGATGTTAATCTTTATTTTCTGTTTCTGTTTTAAAAGAAAAATGTGAGAAAAGTTGTGGAAATTCAAAGATGTCCTCCTTTTTTGTTTGCCCTTCAAACACTGACCTCGCTATTGTATTTTTTCTTACTCGAGAAATCAAGTTGGTTATAATTATATATTATCATGATGTTAATGATGACTACGATCACTTATTTACTCGCTGTACAAGGTGCCCTCCTGCCTGCCTGTGTGTGCATGAAAGGAGTGATGACAGTATGACCGAATGGAGGAGGATGTGATGAAGATAATGATGATGATGATATCGGGAGTGTGTGTGTTATTGCTACAATGTTGAATGTTTTTTTCTTTCTTGTCCATGAGAGATTCATGAGAAATGTGTGTGTGTGTGTATGTGTGCGTGTGTGTGTGCTTGCTCTTGAACACTTATCTGCTCCAGTCAGGGAAGTGAATTAATCTGACAGCTTACATTTGAGAGAAAGTGTGTGTGCGTGTGTGTGAGTGTGCGTGTGTGTGAGTGTGCGTGCGTGTGTGAGAGTGAGTGTGTGTACATGTGCTCGACTGTTTGGATATTGTAATAGCTAAAAAGTTCAAAAACATTGGCACTATTGCATATGTCTCTTAATTTTTCGTGTATTTTTTTTAGCAGCATTTCGTTCCCGTTTGTATTTTTTTTTCTGCCAATTGCAATAAATGAATATTTTGTTTTTAAGACGAAGTAACCAACTGAAGGCATTTCTATTAAAAAATGCCAAATCCTACCATACCAAGCTGAGCTGGAACAGTGTTTTACAGACACGTTAAAGACATTACCTGTTATGTTTTACTGTTTTGTTTTTGTTTTGTTATTATGTATCAATTTAAATTAAGTCAGTCTTTATTATCACTCCTGTTCAGGATGTTTTCATTTATTTCAGATGTTACAAAAAGGAGAGGAAATTAATTTAAAGCAGAAAAGAACAAGATAATAAAGGTTGAATTGAAGTCTGTGGTGGTTTGTTTTTTGTTTACCTACAGGATGCTATTCATAAATGTACCGTTGCTGTTTCAGGTTTGATTTAATCAGTGGTGTTTTTATATGTACAAAAGTGGTGGGGCACAACTTAGATGTGTGTGTGTGTGTGTGTGTGTGTATATATAAGCTTCTGGTGCTTTTTTAAACATGTAAACAAATAGCTGTAGGCTGTCCATGGTTCCGATAGAGAGAGGGGCGTGGCGGGTATAAGGAAAACACAGACACTCATCACCGAGGTCACAATATCAATCGATCCAGCAGAGCAATAGCCTTTAGGCAAAACACAGAAGATCAACAAAAGATATGACATAACATGAACTTACCAAAGCTGAAGTAGAGGGTCAACTTCATTCATTTTCTTTCCGTTTTACTGATTTTAATCTCTATACGCTGCTTTCTCTCGTCTCCTCGTCACAACTACACTTTTCGCGGTACACGTACTTACAGCCAATCAGCTCTCTGAATTATGAGATGACGTTTGGTGGGTATGCCAGCACTTTGCCCCACTGGTGATTTTTTTTTTTGCCGCACACATTGAATAGAAAAAGACTCTGAGCATGCGCAGTGTCGTTTTTACAGCACCCATTCATTTTGACAGCAGAGAGGGGCTTGCCCCACATCGCTCAACACGGCTCAATAGGTACACTGTGGACACTAATTGGAAGAACGCAGACTAAAACAGCAATGTACAGATGAATCAGATGACTAAACATGATCTTAAAATATATTTTAACAGCTTTGTTCCATACATACTGAAAAACATAGTGACTTGGTCAACTATAGTGTGGTCCTTGGACCAAGAAAATATTTTAAAATCTCCCTTATTGTTAATAGTGCTAGAAAACGTGAGGGGGAATGCTGCATTATACGTTTTATAAGTAGTCACTGATTTTTATCGCATCACACGGTCATGTTTTATTCTGCTAAAAAGACTAATGAAGTAATTATAATGGCTAAAAGAGATGCAACCCTCAAGTTCAAGGTTTCCTCTCTGATGTATTGCTGTAGGAAAGAGTAATTTAGGTTTGCAAACATCGACTGACCTGGGTTGAGAGAGGAATTTTAAGCATTTCTTACGAAAACCTATAACTTTAGCCAATTGCATGCAGACTGTATTATTTTGGGCTTTATCTGGGAAGTAATTATTCAGAGTAACAAACACAAATATTTATATACAAATTAAAAAAGAACAAGCAATATAATTGAAAGCTTATTATTGATATACTCTGTAATGTATGATAATATTTGCATTTAAAAAACAATATATATTTATTGTTAATTTAATTACCCTGATGTATCTTACTTGCATCTTGTCACAATTGTCGGTAATTTTATTTTCCAGTGAGCTCTCAAGAAGAGAATGGATGCTCCTGTTGAGGTAAGATAATTGCAAAAAGGAAAGACTACTTATTTTTGTTTAGGTGTGTGTTAAAAAATACACTTAAAATGTTTTTTTTCTTAGTGAATGTTTTGAAAACAAAGTAAGCTAGCTATTAGCATTTAAGCTAGGGAAGTGGTTTGTATGCTAACGTCTACGTCATGGTGATTATTTTAAAATGTTGTTTATTAGCTCGTTTTTCATTTGAGTTTTTATCTTTTTACATCTTAAAAGTGTCTTTGAGGACCTGATAAAGCGCTTGATAAATAAAATGAATTATTATTTTTACTTACAGATAGTCATGGCAACTAGTTTGAGGCCCAACAGATGTTAAATTAATTAGCCTAGTGCAAGCTAAGCTAACGAAGGCTCCACTTTTAGCTCCAAAGTACTTACATGTTATACTGAAGTAAAAAATAGTAATACAAACATTTAAAAATACACAATAATAATAATTAAACGACTTCGGGATAATACATATTATGTTTTAAATGTATAATTATTGGTGCATTCATGCTACTTTAATTTTAAGGAGTTTATTCATTTAATTTGTACTAAATACTGCCTGGTAGCTTATTTATTCACCAACAAAGCATGTACATTATTAGTTTGTTATATTTTGCATTATTAATCTAAATCTTGATGCAGTGTAATGATGTCCTATAAATAAATAATATTGACCACTAGAGGAGTTACAGCAATTAGTGTTACACAGAGCCATGCTATATTTTTTCCCTATTTATATTTTAAGAATTAACGTCATTTAAAGTCATGCATTAGTTAAAATCGCATGTAGCATCTCAAATTGAAGTGATGTGCTTCATTCATGCCTGCAGTAGCGGCGCTGTGCCTTTAAGAACATCCGGGTATTTCCTCCAGTCTGTGCATGACATCATTGATATTGTCAATGGTGTAAATGAGAGAGAGAGGGTGGGGGAGAGAGAGAGCACAGCAGCGAGAGAGAAGGACCTCAGTGTCTGCTTTCGGCATTTTTCCTCCCCAAAAAACACTCAAATATCCTCACAGAGAATCTTCCAGGCGCTTCTGTCTGCTGTATTTTTTTTTGCAAGGGGTTCGTTTTCTTTCGGAAGTGTTCGGGTTCGGGTTTCCGAGGTTATGAGCCGTCCGAAGCCGCTTTGGAGCGTCGCTGTCCGGGGTCCTGAGTGAGAGACAGCCACAGGAAACCTGACATAACCCGGTGAGGAGGAAGAGGAGGAGGTCGGGTGGGGGTCCATGTTGGCTAGTCAAGGTGTCTCGAGGCGTGTGTGTGTGTGTGTGTGTGTGTGTGTGTGTGTGTGTGTGTGTGTGTGTGTGTGTGTGTGTGTGTGTGTGTGTGTGTGTGTGTGTGTGTGTGGTGTGTGTGTGTGTGTGTGTGTGTGTGTGTGTGTGTGTGTGTTAGTCAAATGGGAGTGTGTGTGTTTGTTAAGGGGTCCTACCTATGCATTGAGGGTGCGGTTTTAGGAATTATCACCACATTTGATGGTCATTCTGGGATGTGTTTTCCTCCAATTCTCCTGTGCTATCTGGAGCAAATGCACGACTCTCTGAAAACATCACGCCTGTTTTTTTTGCAGCGTTTTGCAGCATTCTCAGTGTTGTAACACAGCAGCTCTGAGGAGAGATGAGGTAAAGGGTTTGGTAATGTGCAGCAGGCAGCCTTTATTTTTCCCTGCACAGTGCATGTATAGAGTAGTGTGACAGCAGCCAGGTAGCAGTAGTGCAAGTAAAATGATATATTGCACAGTTATTTACAGATGAATCACAGTCATTTCCTCACTTTTAGTCCCTGTTTGCTAATGTGCAGCATGTCCCCCTGCACAGTGCAATGTGGATGGGGTGTAGGTCTACAATGCAGCCAAAAAGAACTTCGTCAGCATTTAGTGCAATGTCAAACTGGCTTGTAAATGTCGGGGAAAAAACAAACCCTCCTCACTTTGTAATCCCTGCTTCATGGCTCTTCAGACACATACAGAAAACATGACTCATGCTAAATCCGTCAGGGGACTCCAGCTCAAAAAAATGGGAGTTTATGCAAACGATTATACACAGAACCAGACTGCCTTGAAGTGCTTTGGGAAGAGTGTGTGAGAGGCTGACCCCCCCCCCCCGCCCCTTCCTACAGAATAAATCAGTTTACACAACTTCACACTTTAGCTAGTCCCTTTTTCCCCTGTGCACTTTCTAAACACTGGCCTACATTGTTGTTCTCTAAACTACCATCATGTATTATTTATTCCTCTGAAGTCAGATGTTTTTAACTTAACAAAACCTGGCCAACAGAAGCAGGGTGGTCCTGGGTATTGCTGCTACTATTGCTAGTGGGAGGCGTGTGGTGCAGTGGGTTGTGCGTTGGTGTTTGATCAGGGGGTCACAGGTTCAAACCCCACTGCAGTCAGCATGTCGTTGTGTCCCTGAGACACTTCACCCCAAATTGCTCCTGTGGGGATTGGCCATAGTATTGAGTATTTGGATAAAAGCGTCTAACAAGTGACATGTAATGTAATATTGAAAATTGAAATAAGACCGTATTACACCTGTGTTGAGATTGTTACATGGGCATCCAGTAAATTGATTTGTGATGTTTAATTGATTAGACATTTTAATACTCTTTTGAATCCTAATATCTCTCTGATATACTCGTGAGCTGCGATACATTTCGACCCCTCAAGTTCCTGATTTGAACTCACTTGTTTTATTATGTTTTATGTTATTATTTGATTTGTCTCTTATCAAATCTTACTGGTTGGTTGCTAAATTCCTACTCCTTATCAGTTTGAACTATCATTTTAACTATCATAACAATCTTTCATGTGTCTTTTTTTTGTGTGTTTACTTTATCCACATGGTGTTTTTGGCTTCAACTTTTGTCATTGCTCACTCATTGTGCGTCATATGTTGTTTTTCTAGCTTGATTTAAACATGTTTTTCTCCCACATTGCATAAACTCACATGAAGTCACTCAGTAGCTGAAAGTAAGCAACGTTTTCCTCCACATTTCCAGAGATGTAACTCTTCTCCACGTCTCTGCTGAGCTTCAGTGATTTGCACTTTTTCATTTTCATCTCTGCCGTTTCCCAAAAGCTTCCCGTTTCACTTTCTTTCAAGAAGCTGCCGCCCCAGGGCTTTGAGTTTAAAGTCTGCAGCTTTGCACCACTGTCCTTTCGCTCTATTGATCACCACTGATTGATGACAGCTTTGTGTGTCTTTGTGTGTGTCTTTGTGTGTGTGTGTGTGTGTGTTGTGTGTGTGTGTGTGTGTGTGTGTGTGTGTGTGTGTGTGTGTGTGTGTGTGTGTGTGTGTGTGTGTGTGTGTGTGTGTGTGTGTGTGTGTGTGTGTGTGTGTGTGTGTGTGTGTGTGTGTGTCAGTGAGTTGAAAAGCTCGGCAGCCATGGAGCTGAGGGTGGGGAACAAGTACCGCCTCGGGAGGAAGATCGGGAGCGGATCCTTCGGAGATATTTACCTCGGTGAGAGTTTACACTGCTTCTGTTAACCTGAATGAGACTAAGGTTTATTACCAAGTAAAATACACATGTTTAGATGTACAAGGACATTTCTTTGATGCATGCACTTTTTGTTATATTCCATGGAATGCTCTTAACATCCCGATAGCAATGAATACATTAAATGCTTTGACAAAAAATACATAAAAAAATGTCATCTGTGGAAGCCGTGGCGCTGTAAAAAGCACGACCAATCATCTGAGCCGGCCCGGCTAAAATAACTGGATGGCCTACCTGCCTGTCAGCCTTCCATCTGTGCACAAACTTATCTCGTGCCCTCATTGGTCATGTGCGCGTTCGTGTGTGTTGGAGGAGGGGCTCTGTAAGGAAGTCTGAAGGAAGGGGCAGATTTTTTCCAGTTGTGTACTTTCAAATTCTAGCGCACTGGAGCTGGTTTCTCCATTCTTACCTACCCCACCTTTAATACAGATATATATATATTTTTTACAATTATTTATTTAATTGTATTTGTATTATATTGTATATTTACATTTACTTATTTATTTACCTATTTATTTATTGATATATTTATATATAAATGTATTTATTTATATATTTATTTATTTATTTATCTATTTATTTATTTATTTATCTATTTATCTTTTTATTTATTTATATATGTATTTATCTGATAATTGATCTATTAATTTATGTATTTATTTATCTATTTTTTACATTTATTTCCTTCTAAAAAGGAGAAACTGTACCAAAACCCCAATTCCCCCTCGGATATTTAAAAGTATTGTGATTCCTCCCTCCAGGCTCTAACATCGCTACAGGAGAGGAAGTGGCCATAAAGCTGGAATGTGTGAAAACCAAACACCCACAGCTCCACATTGAGAGCAAGTTCTACAAGATGATGCAGGGCGGAGGTAAGAAGTGTGGCAGGTTTCTGAAAGCTTTACTACGGGGCGCCGAGAGGCAGCGGAGAGTTTAAGAGGTTATTTAGAGCCGCTGAGGGGAATAATGATTGCAGTTCTTCAGGAGGGAATTCAGCGTGTCATTTCAGGGCCTTAGAGGGTCATTCAGGGTCATTCAGGGACACTGAAAGTGGTCTTAATTAAAGAGCATTAAAGGTCACCTATCATGCTATTTTTAGGCATATATTATGGGTCTCAGATATATAAAAATATATAAAAACATGTCTATGATGTGTTTTGCTCAAAATACAAACAGATCATGCATTTTAGACATCCCTCATACCCCTCTATTGCAGCCCTGTTAGAGAAACACGGATGTTGGGTCCTTAGCTTGAAAAAAAGAAAAGAGGAGGCTAGGAGATAAAGTTAAATTCTGATAAAACGCCATCCTGTTCTAAACCACATCAAGGATTATTTCTGAAACAGTATGGAGCTCAAATGCTTTTTCTCTTGCAGGTGTATCACAAGGTGAGTTCCTTTTTTTATTTCCTGCTTTTTAAACACATGTGCTCTCCAGTACAGGTTAGCTCTGAGTGTTAGCGAGGCTTGCTAATGTAAACAAAGACGAGATTACGTCCAAAACACGTCAGGCATTGTTTCTGATAGCAACTTTCTGTGGGTCCACCATCCGAAATTATGTCATATCGACAGCAAATCTGTATCCGTTCGTTGTACCCCCGTTTTTAAAAGATTTGGGTACGGAGGAAAAGAGAGAGGGTTTTATTTTCTGACGCTGCGTGAGTTCCCCGACACACCGGGGACACATATTTATGTATAAAAGACATCGCAAAGTGCATTTTGCATGATAGGTCCCCTTTAAGTCAGTTAAGGATTGTTGAGAGACTTTTATGGTGGTGTAGTAGCACTGAGAAGTAGTTTAGGCGTTGGAAAGGTGATGAAGCTTACATTTTAATGAATGAATACATCTTTGATTATCCAGGGAGGGGAGAATTCACTTGTTACGTCCAGAACAGAAACATGCTAATAGGTGAGAAAGGAAGGTGAAGAAAGTTTTTAAATGAAAAAGGAATTAGATATATTAAGTTAAAAAGCTATATTATATTTGTTCTTAAGAAATATAGACAGTGCAATAAATGGCCAACATGGTGTGTACTATTAATAATAAGTATTTAGATATAAGTGACAAATATAATAATCATTAAATGTGAAAATATTAAAAAATGTCTGTAAATCTTTTAACATAAAATTGTAGTGCTATATTATTTTATATTATTTGTATTATTATTGACGCAGCTGACCAACCTTGAGCAGCTGTTATCTTCCATTAGGAGGGACTGCTCTCGCAAGTTGTTGATGTTGCCAGTTTGTGACCGGGCAACTCTCGGTCAGAGATAGTCATTGTTGTGGGACACCTGGAACACATCCTTCTCGGGGTGTAGATGACCCCGAGCCATAAGCGACAACAAATGTGATTCAGTGTCCTCAGCTGTTAGTTAGTCTATCTATTGAAGAATGTTGATTATTCTCTGAGAACTAGCTAAATACATGAGTCTGGGGGAGGGCTCTTCAGAATTGATTGTGGCATCTCTACCGTGTGGTCAACTCGTGGCCCGTGACATGTCTTGTGAATTCTCCGGCCGAAGCTCCAAATAAACCGTCAGTGTTTGCCATCAAAGCTCCAGCTCTCCCCGTGTCTCTCCGAGTCCTGATTCCAATTGCTTCAGAAGTTTCCCCTAACGTATATCAATATTCCAATGACTTGTATATAGACTATTCAGCACTATTTCTTATTATATTCTATTTTATTGTATTGACTTGCACTAGTATCTGTTTTACTGTGTTGCACTGTTGGAGGAGCCTGTGACCTCAGATGTTCATTGTCATAACTACACTGTAGCTATGTACGAATGACCAATAAAAGCCTTGAACCTTGAACCTCCCTCAGTGGGAATCCCGTCTATAAAGTGGTGCGGAGCTGAAGGCGACTACAACGTGATGGTGATGGAGCTGCTGGGTCCCAGTCTGGAGGATCTGTTCAACTTCTGCTCCCGCAAGTTCAGCCTGAAGACCGTCCTGCTGCTGGCCGACCAGATGGTGAGACACACCGCACTGTAAAAAAAAAACCCTCCCATCCCAAAAAAGAATACGTTAATCAGGGTTTTTCCTGAGATCCATAGCCGTTTATTACCCTTCAGTCTCTCTGTAGTAGCTAATCACTTTAAGAGCTCGCTGAACAACACTGCTTTTTTTAATGGAGTCTTTACAGAGAGGTTCCTCACGGCATCTAAGGTGAAACTATACTTAAACTGTGATGGTAATAGAAGATGGAAAGGTACACATTAAAGGTCCCCTATTATACTGTCTTTCATCAATATATCACAGGTCTCAGATATATACAGAGCCTGTCTCTGATTGGCTCCAAACACCAAACAGATCATTGCAGCATCCCATAATCCCCTCTGTTTCAGCCCTGTTTCAAAAGTGCTGATTCTCTGTCTGTTACTTTAGATGAAAATAAGGAGCCCCTCCCCACGCCCCTCTGAGAGAGATTTGGTTACAAAGAACACAATGGTGCTCTCGGAGGAGATTCAGGTGATAAGGTGGGGGGGGGGGTTACCTTGGTTGCTGATTGGCTAATGGTTACACAAGACAAAAAATCGTTATGACATCATAAAGTGGCCAAAATCTGATCAGCTCATTTTCAGACAGGTTTTTATATAAATGGATCAGGACAAAAAGAGAGAGAATCTTTGTTCCTGAAACTTTCAGAGTCTCTTTCCACAGAGGGGACACATGTTGATGAAGAAGAGACATGAAGAAGAGGGGACACATGTTGATGAGAAGAGACATGAAGAGAGGGGACACATGTTGATGTAGAAGAGACATGAAGAAGAGGGGACACATGTTGATGTAGAAGAGACGTGAAGAAGAGGGGACACATGTTGATGTAGAAGAGACATGAAGAAGAGGGGACACTGTTGATGTAGAAGAGACATGAAGAAGAGGGGACACATGTTGATGTAGAAGAGACATGAAGAAGAGGGGACACATGTTGATGTAGAAGAGACATGAAGAAGAGGGGGACACATGTTGATGTAGAAGAGACATGAAGAAGAGGGGACACATGTTGATGTAGAAGAGACAGTGAAGAAGAGGGGACACATGTTGATGTAGAAGAGACATGAAGAAGAGGGGACACATGTTGATGTAGAAGAGACATGAAGAAGAGGGGACACATGTTGATGTAGAAGAGACATGAAGAAGAGGGGACACATGTTGATGTAGAAGAGACATGAAGAAGAGGGGACACATGTTGATGTAGAAGAGACATGAAGAAGAGGGGGACACGTGTTGATGTAGAAGAGACATGAAGAAGAGGGGACACATGTTGATGAAGAAGAGACATGAAGAAGAGGGGACACATGTGGATGTAGAAGAGACATGAAGAAGAGGGGACACATGTTGATGTAGAAGAGACATGAAGAAGAGGGGACACATGTTGATGTAGAAGAGACATGAAGAAGAGGGGACACATGTTGATGTAGAAGAGACATGAAGAAGAGGGGACACATGTTGATGTAGAAGAGACATGAAGAAGAGGGGACACGTGTTGATGTAGAAGAGACGTGAAGAAGAGGGGACACGTGTTGATGTAGAAGAGACGTGAAGAAGAGGGGACACATGTTGATGTAGAAGAGACGTGAAGAAGAGGGGACACATGTTGATGTAGAAGAGACATGAAGAAGAGGGGACACATGTTGATGTAGAAGAGACATGAAGAGAGGGGACCACATGTTGATGTAGAAGAGACATGAAGAAAGAGGGGACACATGTTGATGTAGAAGAGACGTGAAGAAGAGGGGACACATGTTGATGTAGAAGAGACGTGAAGAAGAGGGGACACATGTTGATGTAGAAGAGACATGAAGAAGAGGGGACACATGTTGATGTAGAAGAGACATGAAGAAGAGGGGGACACTGTTGATGTAGAAGAGAAAGTGAAGAAGAGGGGACACATGTTGATGTAGAAGAGACGTGAAGAAGAGGGGACACATGTTGATGTAGAAGAGACATGAAGAAGAGGGGACACATGTTGATGTAGAAGAGACATGAAGAAGAGGGGACACATGTTGATGTAGAAGAGACGATGAAGAAGAGGGGACACATGTTGATGTAGAAGAGACATGAAGAAGAGGGGACACATGTTGATGTAGAAGAGACATGAAGAAGAGGGGACACATGTTGATGTAGAAGAGACATGAAGAAGAGGGGACACATGTTGATGTAGAAGAGACATGAAGAAGAGGGGACACATGTTGATTGTAGAAGAGACATGAAGAAGAGGGGACACATGTTGATGTAGAAGAGACATGAAGAAGAGGGGACACGTGTTGATGAAGAAGAGACATGAGGAAGAGGGGACACATGTTGATGTAGAAGAGACCATGAAGAAGAGGGTGACACATGTTGATGAAGAAGAGACATGAAGAAGAGGGGACACATGTTGATGTAGAAGAGACATGAAGAAGAGGGGACACATGTTGATGTAGAAGAGACATGAAGAAGAGGGGACACATGTTGATGTAGAAGAGACATGAAGAAGAGGGGACACATGTTGATGAAGAAGAGACATGAAGAAGAGGGGACACATGTTGATGTAGAAGAGACATGAAGAAGAGGGGACACATGTTGATGTAGAAGAGACATGAAGAAGAGGATTTTGGGCCCTATTATGCTTTGTTTTTTTCCCCCTTGTTCCTGTAGTGTGTTATACAGGTTTGTGTGCATAATGGTCTGCAAAGTCTTAAAATCCCTATGTTGGGGAGTTTTCTGTCCCGAACACTACTACCACTGGCTAGCGCTCCAACACATTGTACGTGATAGGCTAAGGAGCGGAACATCTCAGAGCCGGCCAGCTAACCAATCAGAGCAGACTGGGCTCTGGTTTCAGACAGAGGGGGGAAAAAGGTGCTGCAGCACAGGCAGTATGAGAAAAATAAAGAGCTTTTTAAACATTAAAGCATGGAGACATGTCCCAGTAGAGACACTACATACTGATATACACCTGAACATCAGCAGGAGAGGACTCTTTAAAGTAGAGACACTACATACTGATATACACCTGAACATCAGCAGGAGAGGACTCTTTAAAGTAGAGACACTACATACTGATATACACCTGAACATCAGCAGGAGAGGACTCTTTAAAGTAGAGACACTACATACTGATATACACCTGAACATCAGCAGGAGAGGACTCTTTAAAGTAGAGACACTACATACTGATATACACCTGAACATCAGCAGGAGAGGACTCTTTAAAGTAGAGACACTACATACTGATATACACCTGAACATCAGCAGGAGAGGACTCTTTAAAGTAGAGACACTACATACTGATATAAATAAGTATACAAAAGCCCCTTTAGGTATTTTGTATTAATGACAAAGTTATGTTACCTTTTGTGTATGAAAACGGCTATATAAATAAAGTTTGATTTGATTTAGACTTGTAGAGAGCATCCCGCTAATAGTTACTCTATTTCAGACAGTAAATTACTTTTACTCATCTTGTTAGGTGGTAGATTTGCGATGCTGGAAGTCTTTACATCCCTATAGTTATATGTGTGTGTGGTCTAAAACTGAGAGTGAGTTTTAAAGGCCACGAGTCTCATTGCCCAGTGAATTAAAGGTTGAGTCATTGGTTTTGATCAATAACCCTGTCGGCCTATCTGCAGATATATAGAGGGCAATTAATGTTATGAGAGAGTTAAAATGTTAGTTATTGCTCCTTTAGAGAAGAGGAGAGGAGCGATGATACCGCAGAGAGAGCGGTTAGGAAAAGAGGTCAAAGTTACGCAGAGAAAATGGGACGAAAAGAACAAATGTGACTGAAGAAGCACATATGAGGGATTAAATCCAGCACACTGACCCCTGCGACGAGGATTAGGCCGTCTTCAGGATCTCCCGTATCCTAGATAGTGTTTGACTTTTATGGAGGAAGCTGAATGTTCGGAGATAGCGAGGGGATAAGCTTTGTCTCGAGGCGGGACGCAAGCTTCAGAGGTTTGGATGGAGATATTCCACAAATGATCCACTTAGTTGCAGTCTAAAAATAACCACATATTGAAATCTGCGTCACTGCCCAGACCGAGGTTGACTTATGTGCAAGAAAAGGTGCACGTTTAGACAGCTGAGGTCTTTTTAAAATATGATTGGAAATGCATAATCAACACCTTTTTTCCAGTGGTGGATAGTAACAAAGTACATTTGCTCAAGTACGGTACTTAAAGGTGGGGTAGGTAATTCACGTCAGAAACACTTGTTGTTATATTCCATGGAATGCTCTTAACATCCCGATAGCAATGAATATATTAAATGCTTTGACAATAAATACATTAAAAAAAGTCATCTGAGCCGGCCCGGCTAAAATAACTGGATGGCCTACCTGCCTGTCAGCCTTCCATCTGTGCACAAACTTATCTCGTGCCCTCATTGGTCATGTTCGTGTGTGTTGGAGGAGGGGCTCTGTAAGGAAGTCTGTAAGGAAGGGGCAGATTTTTTTCGGTTGTGTACTTTCAAATTCTAGCGCACTCGAGCTGGTTTCTCCATTCTTACCTACCCTACATTAAGTAACATTTTGAGGTATGGAATATTCTCCATTTATGCTCCCCTACAATTTAGACGCCAATATTGTACTTCTTACTCCACTACATTATTTGACAGCTTTTAGTTACTCTTTAGATTTTGATTATTAGCTTGTACAAAATATGCGTCAAGTGTTAAATATACATTGACATATTTTTATAGGTTACGATATCCAGCAGCAGTATATAAAGTATTTAAATTAGCTACACATTTAATCAGCCGTGATAAAAACACATCAATAATCTAAATGGTAAACCAGTGACTCAATATATATTTGATTCGGAAATAGGACATTACGCGTAGGGAGTACTTTCACTATTAATACTTAAGTATAACTTGATGCCGGTACTTTTGTACTTTTAGTTAAGTAAGATTTTGAATGCAGGACTTTTACTTGTAATAAAGTACTACTATTACTTGAGTAAAAAAATCTTCCACCACTGCTTTTTTCACTAATATTAGCATACATAGCACTAACTCTCCTTGATCTACATCCTGTTCCCCCCCTTTTTTCTCCAGATCAGCAGGATTGAATACATCCACTCCAAGAACTTCATCCACCGAGACGTGAAGCCCGACAACTTCCTGATGGGTCTCGGTAAGAAGGGCAACCTGGTGTACATCATCGACTTCGGCCTCGCCAAGAAGTACCGCGACGCCCGAACGCACCAGCACATCCCGTACCGCGAGAACAAGAACCTGACCGGCACCGCCCGCTACGCCTCCATCAACACACACCTGGGCATCGGTGAGACACGCAGATGTTAGCCTAGATGTGTGTGTGAAAGTGTGTCTGCTCAGCAAAATGTCAGGAGAATTCGTGCCGGGTAATTAATGACCATCTGTGACTAGGCAATAAGACTCACGTTCAGTTTTAGAACAAACACAGAAATAACTATGGGAATATAAAGACTTCCAGCAAAGACTTTCCTTTATTTGAAAGGTAATGCAAATAACTAAATACAATCTCGCAAACTTTAGTTATATAAGGAACTGTTTGACAACACCTGTAGCAAAACTCTATATGACTGCCATGATCATTCCCCACCTAACATACTGTATGACCAGCTGGACCCAGGTGAATAGCACAACATTAAGGCCTATCCTATCACAAACAAGCTCTCAAAGTTTTGGACAGAAAACCTAAGCTATACCACCATTGCAAAATCCTGGACAAACATTAACCTGCTCAGCTGGGAAAATCTTTTAAAACACACTGATGCATGTTTAAGATTATAAACGGCAAGGCACCACTCAGCACTTTTATACAGCAGAACCACAAGGTCTGCCCTAAGAGGGGACTGTGTATCCCCTCTTAGGTCCAGTTCCTTTGGTAAACAGTGTTTCTCTGTGAGGGCATCAACACTTTTCAATACCAATACAGATAAGGAATAACACCTCCTATCATACATTTAACCACTATCATAAGAACTGGCTTTTAAGCAATCAAAAATGTGAACCCTTTTAACTGTATCATAGTATGATAGTATTTCATCTGTTTGCATGTTTGTCTGTTCCTATTTATTGTTGTACTGCTGTTGTCTGTTGCTGAGTGTATTCTTTTTAATTATGTTTTTATTTCTCTAGTCTTGTTGTGGTTATTTAACATCTTGCCAAAAGGACAACAGTTGAAAATTAGCCTGCTGGCTAATACTGGCACGTTTACAGCAATGTGGATTAATGTGCACTGTCCTTTAAATAAATAAACAAACAAACAAACGCAAAACTATCTCAAGGCTATATAAGTATACGTGATTTGTTCTAAATAGAGAAAGTATTTGCTAATTAAAAGTACTCGTAAAGAAAAGATGGGTCATTTAATTTTGATGCATTTCACCGGCATTTCATTCCTTTTTATTTGCATTTTAAGAGTTATATAGATACGGGAAATAAATAACAAAATGAGATAAAATTCAGACTAAAATATATTAAATAACTAAATAAAAACCCTAAAAAAAATAATAATAACAATGATAAATAAATAAATAAAATACAAATACTACACCCCTCAATTGCAAATCTTAACTACTGACTGAACAAAACCCCTTTCTAAGCCACAACAGATGATTTAATGAAATTCCTTCCATTGACCTCCACTGATTGAGAAAAAAGCTTGTGAAAGGTAATCCAGGGCTGTCCAGATTTTCTCCAACTGTAACTGAAAGTGCGTCGACTGGACTCTCTGAACTCCTTTCTTAAACGTTCCTCCTCCTTCTTCCTGGTTCTTTATCTTTCCTTCTTGTTTCCTCAACAATACGTTTGTATTTCACGCTCTCCTCTCCTCTGTGTGACCTCCTGTCCTCCACAGAGCAGTCGAGGCGAGACGACCTGGAGTCTCTGGGCTACGTCCTGATGTACTTCAACCTGGGCTCTCTGCCCTGGCAGGGCCTCAAGGCCGCCACCAAGAGGCAGAAGTACGAACGCATCAGTGAGAAGAAGATGTCCACCCCCATCGAGGTGCTCTGCAAGGGATACCCCTGTGAGTAGAGATAGAAGCAATTAAACAATAGAAAGGCCACTTTAAAAGAGGGATTTTGCATGTAAGTAACCAATGTGATATCTTTTCATGGGGCCCAAAATCCCTAGCGGCAACCCTGACACAGACACACACACACACACACACACACACACACACACACACACACACACACACACACACACACACACACACACACACAAAGAAGCTCAAACCAGCATGTTTGAACAGCTATCCATGTCCTTTGTCCTGTATGACACGTGACTACCTGAGAAATCAATTGTTTATGCTCAGTTGTTACATACTTGACATCTCACCCATCTTCCTCTGACTCCACTTCCTTGTAACTGTACACACACTCTGTAATTAAAGTTAACTATGATTCTGACTTCTCTCCAGCTGAGTTCTCCACCTACCTGAACATGTGTCGCTCGTTGCGGTTCGACGACAAGCCGGACTACTCGTACCTGCGGCAGCTCTTCAGAAACCTCTTCCACCGACAGGGCTTCTCCTACGACTACGTCTTCGACTGGAACATGCTGAAGTTTGTGAGTCAAACAGATGGTGTTTATAGTTAGCAGACATTTCTTTTTGCACCATGCAGATTAGTCTAAGATTGGGGCTTATTGTCAATCTAATATGTATATACCTATATACACACACAATCAAAAGACACATTATACATATGCCCACATTAAGACCTAAATAAAGGCACACAAATCAATAAAATAACATTCACTTCAATATGTACATTAGTGCAAGACTGTCCATAGCAGCGTATTTGGTCCATTTTGTCGTCTGAACGGTTCCTCTGTGTTTCAGGGAGCCAGCAGGACGAAGGAGGAAGGAGCGAGGGAGAGGAGGGAGGGGAAAGAGGGGAACGAGGGGAAAGCGGGGAAAGAGGGTGAGGAGCGAGCGGGAGGAGGTCAGAGAGCAGCTGGAGGTCGAGCTCTGCCTCCTGGACCCAGCCCGGCAGCCGCTAACAGAGTCAGGAACGAGGCGGACCCTGCGCCCTCCACCCCGGCCCCGCGGGGGGTCCAGCCGTCAGGTCAGGAGGGGGGGTTGTTAGTGATGTTACGTTCCAGAATGATCCGATTCTTTTGAACGGCTCTTTGGTACGAACGAAGGGAACCGAGTGGTACTTGGTGAGAGCCGTTCTTCAGTGGTTCAGGTGGACGACGTGTTTTTCGAGTGAAAAAATTAGCCAAACGTGCACTTCGACAAAAGCATAGGCAATGATAAAGCGGAGTGCAACATTTGAAAGCCAACATATCATTTAAAGCAGGGTCAACAAATAATCTCCACCGCCACTTTTAAAAGAAAATGTCTCTTTTGAACGGCTCTCGGAAAGGAACGGAGCCATAAGATCCGGCTCCCTTCAAAGAGCCGTAAATCCCATCACTACAAGACCATTTGTCTGTTAAAGGAAAGAAAAAAAGTTCTTATCTAAAGGGGTGCAAACATTGAGGAGAAAAGCTGCTTTTTTTGTGTACCATAATAACAGCTGTAAAGTCTCTTATGTTTTTTGGTTTCTCTTTTTGAATAGAAACTAATGCTGCATCATGGTCAAAGTCAACGTTATGGTCATTTTCTGTGTGTGTGACACAAACAGGGAGATGGAAATCCCGTTTCTCACCATCCCGCTGTTATGAAGAGTTATTTCCTCTCACACAGGTGCAGGAATTACGTGATGTTGGCTTTTAGTTTGTACTCTTTGCTTAGTGCTCAAGTGCGACTTCTGGCCCAGATGCAGGGAACATGAGGCAGCAGCATTACATCGAGATTCTTGAATGTTGGTTGTGTGTGTCTGAGCTTTTAAAGGTCACCTATTATGCAAAATCCATTTGTTCATGTCTCTTCTACATCAACATGTGTCCCCTCTTCTTCATGTCTCTTCTACATCAACATGTGTCCCCTCTTCTTCATGTCTCTTCTACATCAACATGTGTCCCCTCTTCTTCATGTCTCTTCTACATCAACATGTGTCCCCTCTTCTTCATGTCTCTTCTACATCAACATGTGTCCCCTCTTCTTCATGTCTCTTCTACATCAACATGTGTCCCCTCTTCTGCATGTCTCTTCTACATCAACATGTGTCCCCTCTTCTTCATGTCTCTTCTACATCAACATGTGTCCCCTCTTCTTCATGTCTCTTCTACATCAACATGTGTCCCCTCTTCTTCATGTCTCTTCTACATCAACATGTGTCCCCTCTTCTTCATGTCTCTTCTACATCAACATGTGTCCCCTCTTCTTCATGTCTCTTCTACATCAACATGTGTCCCCTCTTCTTCATGTCTCTTCTACATCAACATGTGTCCCCTCTTCTTCATGTCTCTTCTACATCAACATGTGTCCCCTCTTCTTCATGTCTCTTCTACATCAACATGTGTCCCCTCTTCTTCATGTCTCTTCTACATCAACATGTGTCCCCTCTTCTCCATGTCTCTTCTACATCAACATGTGTCCCCTCTTCTTCATGTCTCTTCTACATCAACATGTGTCCCCTCTTCTTCATGTCTCTTCTACATCAACATGTGTCCCCTCTTCTTCATGTCTCTTCTACATCACCATGTGTCCCCTCTTCTTCATGTCTCTTCTTCATCAACATGTGTCCCCTCTGTGTAAAGAGACTCTGAAAGTTTCAGGAACAAAGATTCTCTCTCTTTTTGTCCTGATCCATTTATATCAAAACCTGTCTGAAAATGAGCTGATCAGATTTTGGCCACTTTATGATGTCATAACGATGTTTTGGCTTGTGTAACCATTAGCCAATCAGCAACCAAGGTAACCCCCCCCCCCCCCACCTTATCACCTGAATCTCCTCCTAGAGCACCGTTGAGTTCTTTGTAACCAAATCTCTCTCAGAGGGGCGTGGGGAGGGGCTCCTTATTTTCATCTAAAGTAACAGACAGAGAATCAGCACTTTTGAAACAGGGCTGAAACAGAGGGGATTATGGGTAATGCTGCAATGATCTGTTTGGTGTTTCAGCCAATCAGAGACATGTTTTGTATATATCTGAGACCTGTAATATATTGATGAGAAACAGTATAATAGGGGACCTTTGAATAAAGTTTGTGTGTGTACAGGTAACCGCTCCCCTCAGGCGGGCAGAGCAGAGCGAGCTGAGCGAGAGAGGAAGGTGGCCATGAGGCTGCATCGTGGAGCTCCAGCCAACGTCTCCTCCTCCGACGTCACTGCACGCCTCGAGCAGTCTCGCTTAACTGCCTCACAGGTAGGGAGAGTGGGGCTTGGCATTACATTTAAAATGCATAATAAATCAACAACAGAGACACAACATCAAATAGATAGAACAAAATATTGGCAAAACAACCACAGAAGACCAAACGTGACACACAATGATCATTAATAGACACAAAAGCACAACACGACGAAGCTAAACAACTATAAGGTCTTTGTGTCTTGCTCCTTTGTGGGAGAAGAGGTGGGGCTTTTACATGTCTGTGCTCCAGGGCCCATTGTTCGATAATATTTCTATGCTAGCAGCACAGCTTTGTGAGAGGGAAACGCCTGTAAAGCTACTTACAGACCACATACTGTATATTCATATTCTGAACAAATAGCCCAAATCACTAAACCCAGGAGGTCAATAAATACCTTTTTCAAGATCTTTCAAGATTCAAGGCTTAATTGTCATATGCACAGTAGTTACAGTGTAGATATGGCAATGAAAAACGTAAGTCCCAGGCTCCTCCAAGAATGCAACATGAATATATATAGGACATCAAACGATTGGACGTGGAAGAGATATAATATTGCTCTTTTCATCTCTCCCTCCTCTCTCAGGTCAGTGTGCCGTTTGAACATCTGGCAAAATGAATTCCTCCTGGCCTGCAGGTCAGTGGCAGGTATGGACACGTCACACACACACACACACACACACACACACACACACACACACACACACACATTTGAATACTTTATTTGGTTCCACAAATTATATTACATAAGACAGGGAATCAAATATATCGGGGCTAAGCAGCACAGAACACTTAGGGGAACACATAGCATCTCCTTCTCCACACGGCTAAGCTGCCAATAATAGCTGAAACAGAGCAATATTTGGCAATTTGTTTGGCTTTTCTCTTTGACATTCCAGCAATTCTCAGACCAATCATGGTGCATTTATATACATGGCCAAGACTTCCGAATATGAGTATGCTATATCTACACTTGTACCCAAAGCTGGTTATCACATCGAGCAGTGGTTGGTATTTGATATACTTGTCCTGGAAAGTCTGGTCCATGTACACACACACACACACACACGCACACGCACACGCACACGCACACGCACACGCACACGCACACGCACACACACACACACACACACACACACACACACACACACACAACACACACACACACACACACACACACACACACACACACACACATACCATGTATACATCACATCAGGGGACATTACATTGACTTGCATTGCATTTCCTGGAGACTTATCCTAACCTTAACCATAACCAACACGGTTTAAGCGTGCCGTGCCCGGGCCGTTTTTGGTTGCGTTTCCACTAGGCGTAGTTCCGGCTAGCGGGTACTTTTTCACAGTTTTCTGGCTCTCCAAAATCGAGGTTCTTTCCAGGCCAACAACCGGACTGAATATGCTAGTGAGAGAATCGCTGGCAACTACAACAAAATGAACATATTTGACCGTGATTGAATTGTAAAACACGTTTCAAAATGATGCCGAAGTAACAACATACTGATACCGGTTAGTAAAAACCATGAATTAATGCTTTGACAAGTCTGCAGACAGACAGCAGGCGAAAAACCTTTTAAAATGCGTGTTTTCTGAATGGAGATTGGCTAAGCTAACGCAGTATATGCTCCGACCGTCCACACTCACAACAACGGCCTACAGACATAAATAAAGCAGCGACTGTATTCACCATGACACAGGCAGTCTGTGGTGTGTACTTGTTTAACTTTTGTCTAGTTTCTGAACAGATATGAGGAGCTGTGAGCTCTGAGTGCTAACAGCTAACGGCTGATGTTGGTTTTGTGGTTCGCATTGAAGATGACGTCACGGCTCCGCCTACACTGCGTTACTATAGTTACTGCCCCAGCTACTAAACTGTAATGGAAACGCAGCATAAAGTGAGCCTGGCCTACCAAGGCCTAACGAGGCCTAGCCATACCGTACTAAGCCGAGCGAGGCCCTGCAGTGGAAAAGCGCCATTAGACCCAAAACCTGAGTAAAAAGGGTCAACAAAATATTTTAAATACTAAATGTACCCTTTAAACTTTTCAGTAGGAATTAATGACATGGTAAGGAAGTCAGAACGATTTGAGAGAAGGTCTAATGCAATGCGTATATCATCACACTTTCCTAAACAAACACACATTTCATCCTATAATGAAGCCCAATAGTGACATTTCTCTTCTTTGTTTTCTTGCTTGTGCTTCAGCAGCTGCAGGGTGTTAAATAGCCCTTAATTTTCGAGTGGATGAATGAAGAGATGAATGAGTTTCTGAGGACCAGAGGAGCAGCAGGAGGCGTTTCGGGCCTTTTAAAGAGGGAATGGAGGCCGTCCGTGTGTCTGTCAGTGTGCTGTGTGAACAGTGGTGACCAGGAAGAGCCGGAGAAACACTGAGATGTTAAAAAAAAGCGGGACACACAAAAAAACTCTTCGCTGGATCTGATTGGTTCTGCTTTGTTCCGGGTTGTGGCCGCACGAGGAAGTGGGTCAAACAGGCCCCGCCCTCTTCTTCACTCATCTTCACCTGCCCATCGACTCGAGGCTCAACTTGCAAAAAAATCCATCAAAGTGCACAAAACGGACTAAATTGAAGTTATTCTGTGGTTTACACCTGTGATAAAAAAATGTAAAATCAGCTATAAAACCTGCTAATGTTTAAGAGCTACATCCGCTGCTTATGGTGTTCTTGATTATTAACAAATATGTAAACAACTATGGAGACAAACAGTGTATTCAGGCTTGGATCAAAGAGTGTGTGAGAGGCTGCTTTTCGTCAATATGTGTCGGTGTCTGTCTGTGTTACTGTCTTAAGTGTTCGTTTTAGTTTGCTTTAGAAAGCCTAAAGGATGGAGGAGATTAGAGTGACTGTGGATGAATTATAACAGAAGAATAGTCCCAATTAAAACGGAAAGGGAGAGCCATGAGGATTGTACGATATGATAAAGCCTTTAGCGTGCCATGTATGAAAAGACTAGAGAATGTTTTAACATATTCAATGGTGAACACGTTTGTATTATTGTTTTTTAGTTCTTTTTCATTTTTTACTACATGTATAATGTGTAGATACCTCAAAATGACAAGAAAGAGATGTAAGAAAGGGCCACAAATCATCCAATACAACTAATGACCACAAAACGACTCCAAGCTATAGGCTACACAAGGAGCAAAAACGACCACAGACAAAACATAATTTGAGAAAGTTATAAAATGAACAATTTTTTATTATAGTTTTTTATTTTAGCTTCTTTTATTTCGTTTTATACTACATTTAAAATGTATAGATACCTCAAAAAGACCACGAAGAGACACAAAGTTACTCCAATTAATGGCAACTAAAGGAGAAAAACGACCACAGACAAACAATGACTTGAGAAAGTTATAAATATTGATGGTAGACAAGTTTGTATTATTGTTTTTTACATTTGCTTTTTTTGTTTTGTTTCATACTACATGTTAAATGTGTGTATACCTCCAAATGACTACAAAAACACCACAAATACATTCATAACATCTACAAAGAAACACAAAATGACCCAGAAGTAAAGGCTATGAAAAACCAGAGATGAAACTATAACTTGAGACAGTTCTACGATCTTGGTGGTGAACAAGTCTGTATTATTGGTTTTTACTTTTGGCTTTTATTCCCCTTTGTTTTGAATACATGTAAAATGTGTACATACCTTTTGGCAGAATGAGACAGATTGTTTAAAGTTTGAGCTGGAGAGAGAAATGTTGACCTGACGGCGCTGGGTAAAACGTGAAACACACACTTTAACCCTTGGAGTCTGCCAGATGTGTGTGTTTTGTTTCTCAGTGTGGCGGGCAATGACAGAGAGGTTCCTGTTCATATTTATTGACGAGTGTTTGGACCCAGGTCTGTCAGGAGGGACGGATTTCAACGATGGGATGGAGCTGACATTTCTTCTTCACCATGCTTCAACTTTATTACTATGATGTTTGTGTATATTTTCTGAATCAATTAAAGTATACACAGCTTATTCAGACGTCTTTGTTGTATATTTTGTTGTAAATTGTTTTAATATACCCAAAATGTTATCACTCATACTCAATCCTGAATATATTTCAATTTTTAAAACATTTTTTCTATGTCTTTTGGAAGAAGCATGAGCGATATTTAACAAATACAAAATGATCAAATAAAATATAGAAAATGTAAATAATCGAAATAATAATAATATAACAAATATATGTATGAATATATATTTAATCTAAATACATTATTGCACACATATTAAGTACACAAACTGTATTATTCACTTTCATATACTTTTATAATTATTATTTTAATTTGTGCAATGACACTGTGGGATCACCATCACCCTCATGCTGAAAATAGCATACTCGCGCATGCTCAGTGTGCTCAACGATCAAACCCCGCCTGCTTTTGGGTTATTAGATATACTCGTGTGTGATTGGCCCATCCAGCTCGTCCTCCTGCAATGGGCGGAGCTTCTGTGACCTGCCGTTAATCCGTAAGGGATCGAAGTCAGTGGAGAAAGAGCAACGGAGAGGAATGAAACAAATCACCGATTTAACTCTAAAACACGGATTTTAAGACGTTGTTGATTCACAGAAAGGATTATTCAAACAAGAACACAAAAGTGGTGTAACACGGGAGAGTTTAGTCAACTTTTTGGGGGGGTTTTATGGTTGTCGGGGCTCAACATGGATGTCCGGGGAGCAACGGTGGATTTCTGAGGAGGAATTAAGGCCGTTATTTCGGGTCGTAAATTGGAGCTGAGGAGGATTTTAAAGCGGCTTCCTTTCTACCAGGTGAGCCTTTAGCCTGTAAAACACTTTCATAATACTTTACATTAACAAACCCCCCCATTTTACCTCACTAATTAAGAGTATTTTTCTTCAAATCCAGGTTAAGAACTCCAGTTGGTGAAGTTGTCGCGGCTGCAAGCTAAAAGGTAGGTTTTTCCAGCTTCGCTTTTTGTTTATGTCATTTCCACAGTTTTTAAACATGGAAAATCCGGTTAAACACAGCATTCATTCACAGCAGTACAATAAAATCACTGTTATGGGAGAAAAGCAGTGGATACAGGTTTTATAGGCTAGTTGTCAGAGGTGGGAGAAGTACTCAGATCTTGCACTTGTGTAAAAGTAGAAGTATCTGAGTGTAGGAATACTCTGTCACAGTAAAAGTCCTGCATTCAAAATGTTAATCAAGTAAAAGTAGAAAAGTATTGGCATCAAAATATACTTAAAGTAAAAGTACTCATTCTGCAAATTGGTCCATTTCAGAATAATATATCATATATGTTTTGATTATAACTATTGATGCATTGAAGTGTTCAAATCCTATTTTTTAAATGTTCTTTTGTATGTAAAATGTGAATCTTTAAAGTAACTATCAAATAAATGTAGGGAATTCAAAGTACAATATACCCATTTATATAGTAGCAGTGAGAAAACATACTCAATTGAATTCCAAGTGCCTCAAATTTGTATTAAAGTACAGTACTTGAGTAAATGTACTTAGTTACTTTGAATAAATCCCAATGCTACTGTTGATGTTGTTGCTTTAGCTAGCTAGCTAGCATGATCATCCAGTCTGGCTTTCACCCATATCATTACTTATTTTGAATTATAAACACACACACCCATGACCCCTTTCCATCTGTTGCTCTGACCTCCTGCCTCTCGTATATTATTTCTATGTGTGTGTGGACTGACCTTTTAGCCTTTTAAATGATACACACAGATGTCCCTTTTGCTCCGGCACAGCATCATTTCACTGTCACTGCCATTGTGTGCGTGTAAGTGTGTGTGTGTATGTGTGTGTGCTGATGCCTTCACTTCTCCTTGTTGATATGTGGATATGCTGATCCGTGGCAAACCAATACAAATGACCTGCCATCTCACACACACACATAGGTTACACGCACACACAGGTTACAAGCACACACACGTGTCACACACACACAGAAAGCGAGACCATAACTCCTCTCAGCCTCACATTTAAAAGCATGAAAGCACCCTAATTCATTTAATCGAAACCCCAAAGCAAATCACTTGGTGTGTGTGTGTGTGTGTGTGTGTGTGTGTGTGTGTGTGTGTGTGTGTGTGTGTGTGTGTGTGTGTGTGTGTGTGTGTGTGTGTGTGTGTGTGTGTGTGTGTGTGTGTGTGTGTGTGTGTGTGTGTGTGTGTGTGTGTGTGTGTGTGTGTGTGTGTGTGTGTGTGTGTGTGTGTGTGTGTGTGTGTGTGTGTGTGTGTGTGTGTGTGTGTGTGTGTGTGTGTGTGTGTGTGTGTGTGTGTGTGTGTGTGTGTGTGTGTGTGTGTGTGTGTGTGTGTGTGTGTGTGTGTGTGTGTCTCTCATTGTCCTTGCTGTTTGTTTAGTGTGCAATGTCACTGGTGTTTGCCATGCTACTCTGGCAGATGAGACATGAAGGGTCACACTGTCCCTCTTTTGTCATTTAGCGATCATTTTTAGCATTAACGCCAACTCTTTATTATTCGTTTTCTCTCTCTTTCTGTTTGAAATGATGTGTGGGTGTATTTGCATCAGCTCCCACTTCACTTTCATAACAACAATCTCCCCATAGCTCAATGTGTCAGCTGTTTGTCACTGTAAAGGAAACAAACGCACCCTGAACATGACTGTCACCTTGGAAACGGCTGCTTACGTAAACGTGTCTTCTGGCCACTTCGAGTCCAGTCCTCCTCAGAGGCTGGAGGTGGATGCTGCAGCTGAATATATGACGTTTTTGTTGTCAATCTGCACCTAAATCTGGTCAGGCTGTAGGCTCATCCTTTCTTTACTCACTAGTCAGATAAGGAAAGATATGTGTGGGGAAAACATGTTCGTGATGCTGTTTGAAACATTTGTGGCCCATTCTGTTATTTGAGCGTTATTTCTTACCATGACAGACCATATTGGGTTTTTTAGAGAATATATGCACTAAAATGTTACTGCAGAAACAATTTAGTGTTGGATTACATTAAAGGTGGGGTAGGTCATTTTGGAGAAACCAGCTCGAGTGCGCTAGAATTTGAAAATACACAACCGGAAAAAATCTGCCACTTCCTTACAGAGCCCCTCCTCCAACACACACGAACGCGCACATGACCAATGAGGGCACGAGATAAGTTTGTGCACAGATGGAAGGCTGACAGGCAGGTAGGCCATCCAGTTATTTTAGCCGGGCCGGCTCAGATGATTGGTCGTGCTTTTTACAGCGCTACGGCTTCCACAGATGACATTTTTTTATGGATTTTTAGTCAAAGCACTTAAGATATTCATTGCTATCGGGATGTTAAGAGCATTCCATGGAATATAACAAAAAGTGTATCTCGAGCCGGTTTCTCAAATGTACCTACCCCACCTTTAAAGGTTTTTTAGATCTGGGATTTAAAATAGCTTTTTCTCACAGTGGGATCTCATTTAGCCCCAATGTGTAATCATCATACAAGCAGGAATAAACTATAAATTACTTGTTGCTTTCTAAGGCCTCAATTTAATTCTCAAAGTCGGCCAATTTTGGTAGGAAAAATACCTTAAATTGTCATCATAATTGGCCATTATGATATAATCATTGCTGCTCTAACCCCACTGTTTAAATATCATACAGTAAGAATCAGCAATGCCTTTAAAATACCTGAATGCCTTGCAGCTAATGACATGTTGTCTTCTGTTAACCTGGAAAAATGCAGAGTGGAATCCAGCTCACACTCTCCGCCCTGAACCCATAACTCCACAGTGGAGAGTAGATGTTTGGGCACGTTATCTGGCAGCGCTCTGGATGTAGGGACATTCAAAACTCTGTTTACTCTACATACATTCCAACCATTGTACAGATGACACACACACACACCTTGACTCCTGTTGAAATGAGATTCCACATTATATTGATCAGTGTGTGCGATCGATACTCCATGTTGATGATTGATGGTGGATGTTCATACTTTATGAATCAAAGTCAACTTTATTGTCAACCTTTCAGTTTGTGTGTACAGACAGAGAGATTGAAATACCGTTTCCCACAATCCCGAATACAAAAATACAAATATATATACAAATATGTATATCCTATATGTAAGTCAAATGTATTTATGAAGTGCTTTTCACAGACAAAGTGCTTGACAAAACATTAAAACATCATAGGAATCATAAAAGAGTAAATGACCACACAAGCCACGTGTTAAGAAGTGCTAAAAACACAATACACAGTAAGACACAATAAAAACATAGGATAAAATAAAAGCACACAGGTTGATACACGCAATCAACAGACACATTTATACATATGCACACATTAAGACAATATATATATATACAGTATATACAATATATACAAAAAAACAGTCACTTCAATATCTTTGAATTGTGTCCCTGTTTGAAAGGAGTGTGAGTGTTTCTCCTCTCTGTGTCCTCCAGATGTTGAACCTGTGGAGGCGGGACGTGCCCCTCTCAGAGCGTTTGGGGGAGGACTCTCCTCTGGCCGCAGCCCCCCCCCTCCTCCCCCCAACAGCATCCCCCACGGGCCCCAACATCTCATGGCTGCCCGAGGCCCCGCTGCTGACCCTGGATCAGCCCACCTTCCTCATGACGCCCGCTGCTCAGGCGGTGTCCGGCTTCTTTGTCTGGACCGCGCTCATCCTCACCTGTCACCAGGTAACGCCCTCCGAACAACATTCATCTGTTTGCAGCTTACACATTATTCTTTATCTAATATATCATATTCCAATAACTTGTATATAGACTCTCCTTGCAGTGTTTCTATTCTATTTTATTTGTATTTACTTGCACTATTTTAACAGTTTTATTGTGTTGCTCTGTTGGAGGAGCCTGGGACCTGAGATTTTCATTGATATATCTACACTGTAGCTCTGTACACATGACAATAATGGCGCATTTCCACCACACGGTCGGCCTCGGCCTCGCTCGGTACTGCTTGGCCGCGTTGGGCCTTGTTAGGGCCGACTCACTTCATGCTGCGCTTCCATTACAGTTTAGGAACTGGGGTAGTAACTATAGTAACGCAGTGTAGGCGGAGCCGTGACGTCATCTTCAATGAGAAATCCAGAAACACAACACAGCCGTTAGCTGTTAGCACTCAGAGCTCACAGCTCCTCATATCTGTTCAGAAACTAGACAAAAGTTAAACAAGTACAAACCACAGACTGTCTGTGTCATGGCGAATACAGTCGCTGCTTTATTTATGTCTGTATAGGCCGTTGTTGTGAGTGTGGACGGTCGGAGCATATACTGCGTTAGCTTAGCCAATCTCCATTTAGAAAACACGCATTTTTAAAGGTTTTTCCCCTGCTGTCTGTCTGCAGACTTGACAAAGCATTAATTCATGGTTTTTACTAACCGGTATCAGTATGTTGTTACTTCGGCATCATTTTGAAACGTGTATTACAATTAAATCACGGTCAAATATGTCCATCTTGTTGTAGTTGCAGCCCCCTTGCCAGCGATTCTCTCTCTAGTTTAGCATACTCAGCCCGACTCAGCCCCGTTTGTTGGCCCCGATAGAACCACGATTTTGTCGGGCCAGAAAAGAGGTGAAAAAGTACCCCCCGGCCGGAACTAGGCCTAGTGGAAGCGCAACCAAAAACGGGCCCGGCACGACACGGCACGCTTAAACCGCGCTCCGCGCCATGGTGGAAATGCCCCATTAAAGCCTTGAATCTTGAATCTACAAAAACATCTGTTTTATATGCAGATGTTGAGATTTGTGTGTGTGTGTGTGTGTGTGTGTGTGTGTGTGTGTGTGTGTGTGTGTGTGTTGCCGGTCAAATGTCCGGAAATAATTTATTTGACCGGACAAATGACCATGTTTCAATAATAAGAATTGTGTAGCAGAGTTTCTGTTAGCAGGTAATTACCGGACTATGACCGGATATGCTGATGTTTAAACTCCGTTAATGGGGCTCTTTTTTATATTGCTTCAGTTTATAATCGTAACAGATCGAAAAGTTCAGATTCATTTTTCAATAAATTATGCGCTTCCACAAACAACAAACAACATCATTATTACATTCAAATGAACTGCTTGTAGTAGAGGAAGTACATTATTCAAAAGTTTACATTAACTTTGGATAATAACACGGGAGAAACGGATCCTCTCTTTTCCTCTCTCTCTCTCTCTCTCTCTCTCTCTCTCTCTCTCTCTCTCTCTCTCTCTCTCTCTCTCTCTCTCTCCCTCTCTCCTGACAGCCCGTCAGTTTCTTATGCAGCTCGCTAAACAGTGGGCGGAGCTTCAGGTGATTATGCAGAGATGCGTGTCTCAGAGCAGCTGATGTGATCTCTCTCTCGCGTCCGGTTATACTTCACTCGCGTTTATGTCCATATCGATCAGATCCAGCTCTCCTGATCGGCCTTTATAGAGAGCACCGATCAAACTATTAAGAGTGAATATCGGCCGATAATGATCGTCGGCAATCGATCGGAGCATCCCTATTTATTACCGGACATTTTGACCGGCAGGTTTTGAATTTACCGTCTTTTTATAAATGTTACCAGCTAAAAACCGGTAATTATCGGCTAACGGAAACCCTGGTACGTGTGTGTGTGTTTTAATGCACATATGATGGGATCCTGCAGACACACACATCTGCAAGGGCAGGGGTTGCTTGGCAACATCCCTCGGCAGGTGTTTGTGATACAGAGAAGGATGTGCACAAACACACACAATGTGAAACCTGATCCAGGTCCATGGAAGGCATGTATGAAAACAACAAACAGCTGAGTCGAGGCTTTTGTGGTAATGTGTTGATAGTTCAGGTTAACGAAGATCGATTCAAGATTCAAGGCTTTCATTGTCATGTGTACAGAGCTACAGTGTAGATATGACAATGAACATCTTAGGTCAGAGGCTCCTCCAACAGTGCAACACAATAAAACTGATAAAATAATCTATATACAAGTCATTTGAATATTGATATATATAAAACTAAGACTTTGATTATGGTTTCACTGGTGTGGGAAACTCTTAGAAATTCCTCGTAAAATTCTAATGTGGCCTATTAAATGTTTTAAAAGCGTTTGCACTTTTACAACACCAGATGTATTATTATTATGATGAAATTATAAATGAATCTATGTCCTTCAGTGTTTCCCACAGAATTGAATTCTATTTGTGGGGGCACCGCACAAAGGCCCCTTAACCTATTCGGGTGGTCCACGCATCCACCGCCCCCCCCTCAAATAAGATAATACATGCGAGTTCATGGCTACTGTAGACAACGTTCTTGTTGCTCTGTGTTGCGTTGTTAATGAGTGAGACACACCGGAGTTGAGGATCTGTGGGGTATAATTTACAATTTACAATTTAGGCATTTAGCAGACGCCTTATTCCAAAGCGACTTACAATGACCAATTACAGGGACATTCTCCCTGGAGTAACCGAGGGCTAAGTGCCTTACTCAAGGGCACACTAGTAGTGGTGTTCCAGGCAGGATTTGAACTTGCAACCTTCCGATCATCAGCCCACCTCACTATCCATTAGACCACCAAAAAAAAAAAATAATAATATATATTTTTTTTTTATGAGATCCATTTGTGGCGGACGATATTTAATTGTGGCAAATAAATCAATGTATGGGAAACACTGTCCTTATTGTGACAAACCAGTACATGTTCTTATTTAAAGTCTTTTAAAGGCTGCAGCTCAAGTTCTGTTGCAGCCTCTCTTGAAGACTCCGAGTCTTATCTCATAAGTGTTAAACCCTCTGATGCAGGCTCACACTCTGCAGCCATAGAGAGAACAGGGCGGTTCTTTCTGCTGCCACAAAGCTGTGGAATCATTCAACTTTAATCTAGCCTCCACCTTTAACTGAATACTTTCTTATCATTTTAAGGTTCCTTAACTTGAAGCCTTAAACTCAGTGTATGAACAGACTAAACTGCTTATGTTCTGCTGAAATGTGAGGTGTCTCTGCTTTCTGTTCCAGATCTACATGCATCTACGTTTCTACAGCTCTCCGAGGGAGCAGCGCCACATCGTGCGGATCCTCTTCATCGTTCCCATCTACGCCTTCGACTCCTGGCTCAGCCTCCTCTTCTTCACCAACGATCAGTACTACGTGTACTTCGACACCGTCAGGGACTGCTATGAAGGTAGGGACTTCATTTCATCTTCTTCAGTCTGTGGTGATGTAGTTTCGTTAATGCCACACATTTACAAGACAACCTGAGCCGGGTACATCAGGCGCTTTCACACCGGAGTACTTTTCCCGTTTGGTTCCGATAGTTCCTGGAATTTTGCGTTCACACCAAAAAGAGAATTTAGTTCATGAGAACTTTTACCCCCATTTTAGTCCCTGCTAGAGAGGTGGTACTTTCCTGGGGAGAAAAAAGTTCCAATTTCTGATTGGCTGGGTGGATTGCAAACCACGCCCCGTAAAACTCAGAAAGGTTTTGTGAAGCCGCCATTGTATTTGCTGGCATTAGCATTATTAGCATTAGCATTAGACCCACGCACCAACGGAGAGAGAATAACTTATGACATGGGAGCGGTGGAGATGAGGAGGTGTCGGCGTTCTGGCGATTTACTCGGAAGGCTTCAGTAGAAGCTGCTGGGAGTCCCAGCAGCTTCTACTGAAGCCAGTCCCCAACTCCGGGGACTTCCGGCCGGGGACTTCGGGTGGCAGTATACGCCGTGAAGTGGTTTGCGGCCTGCCAGTAAACCCAAAGCAGAAGAAGAAGAAGAAGTGACGTCAGCGGCTTCATTTGCGTGATCTTCCCTCAGGGAACTTATTCCGGTGTGAACGCGATCTGCTCTTTAGTTCCATGGGCGAACTAAGTACGGCAAAGTACTTGGTGTGAAAGCGGCTAATGATGAATTGCTCTGACTTTAGAGTACTTAAATTGTAATGTTTGCAACCAAAATACCCAGAGCCACTCTACTTTAGGTATGGTTAAAAATGTTATTAACATTGCCATATTTGGTAGCTATTCTTTCCGCCCAAGTGTCTTTTCTTTCTTGAATAAAGACACATTGAATGATTTATTTAGATACTAGCGACAGATAGAGGTTACTGATTCCTTTCCACCTCATTGCGCGTCCTTTAAATGATTACATTGTGTGGATGCATTCAACCACTTGATGGTGAATCCTGTTTTATTTTCGTTTTTGTGATGGTCTGGAAGTCTCTTATGAAATTTCTTGACGTTTTTCTTGATCCGTAAACATTTTTTCTGTATTATTTATATGTATTTGGACACATCGTACCATTCATTTCCACAGCGGAAGCCTCTTTTGCACAGCTCCATGTACGTGCCTCAGAAATGTGGTTTTGATATTATTTTGGAGTTGAGTTTGTAAGGGATGTAACCATGGATCAAATGGCTTTACTTCTCTCTGTATAAACATGGACTGAGTTTATTCGAGTATGATCAGAACTGCTTGTGGTGAGCTGGCGGCTTTTTCAGAGCGCATGGGGGACACAAACAAAACAAAGACTGCCTGATGTTTTAAATCTCTGACGTCTCTTTTAATGTTTGAGTTGGCAGTGAAGTCAGCTGCTCGTAATTTTCCAGTCAGTTGTGACATTGAGGATAAAAATAGTCACTTTGCCCAAGCGTCACTTCCTGTGTTGACCAATAAATGATGTCCGAGTGTTTGAATGTGCAGTGGAGGCGTTTTAGTGCTGCTTCTGGGAGGAAGCTCTTCAGTATCGTGGTCGTCATGTCTCTTCCTCCTCCTTATCTCCTCCTCCCTCCCACGACAAGTTGTATCCTCCCTACTTCTCCTCTTGGTATTATTCCCCTCCTCTCTTCGCCCTGTTTGCCTTCCCATTACCCACAATGCTGCTGAGCCTAAGCTAAGATGACCGACCTGTTGCATGGCAACCGAGCTTGCAAAATCTTCCTCATCAACCAGCATGGCTGCATCAGATAATGAGTTTCTCTCCACCAAACTCGCTGTAAAACTTCCCGTTGCCTTTGTATCCGGGCCTACCGTATCACCGTGGCAACTAGCACTGTGCTGACGGTGTCCTTGGAGAGGATTGATGAGCGTGATGTAAACAGCTGACACACACACACAGTTTCTCACACACACTGTACGCTCAGCTGTGTGTTTAAATCACAGTGACTCTGGCATGTGTGGCATCCTTTTACCTGAGTGTTGACTGACAGGCGCCTGACGTCAGACAATACACCCAGAAAATAACAATAGTTTTATTTGTAGCACTTAAAAAAGCTTACACACAAAGTACATTGCAGGTTACAAGACTTGCAGAACAACGGATTTAACAAATAATAATAAATAACAAACAAAAATTAGCAACATGACAACAGAGTAGAGGGAGGAAAGGAAAATAAAAACTGACGTAACAAGAATCTCAGCTGCTTTGAGCTCCACACACACATACGCACACATACGCACACACACAATCACACAGACACATTTTCACACTTTCTTTCTTCACAGTCATAAGACGAGAGAGTGTGTGTTAACAGGATTAGCCTGGCTGTTTTTCTGAGCCCTCTCTCGCTCTGAGGCAGCACAGAGGAGAGATAATCCTCCGCAGAGACACAAGAGAGAGGTGTGTGTGTGTGTGTGTGTGTGTGTGTGTGTGTGTGTGTGTGTGTGTGTGTGTGTGTGTGTGTGTGTGTGTGTGTGTGTGTGTGTGTGTGTGTGTGTGTGTGTGTGTGTGTGTGTGGTGTGTGTGTGTGTGTGTGTGTGTGTGTGTGTGTGTGTGTGTGTGTGTGTGTGTGTGTGTGTGTGTGTGTGTGTGTGTGTGTGTGTGTGTGTGTGTGTGTGTGTGTGTGTGTGTGTGTGTGTGTGTGTGTGTGTGTGTGTGTGTGTGTGTGTGTGTGTGTGTGTGTGTGTGTGTGTGTGTGTGTGTGTGTGTGTGTGTGTGAGACTTGCGAGATCCGTTCTGAGATTCTCGCCACAACAGAAAGGCTGTGCGATGTCAGCAAAATATTGATCTTGTTTATTTTATTTGAATTTACTTTGGAAACCGGAGACATTTAATACAGTTTTTTTTTTTAAATGTCTTATTACCTGGGACATTTAAATATCATTAAATCCAAAAACAAATGCCGTACCTTACTGTTAAACATCTATATCAGGTAACATCAGCAGTCTGTTAGATTCAAGTAAGATGTGATTTTCAATATGTTCGCTTGCAGATGTCAGAAAGTGTGTGTGTGTGTGTGTGTGTGACTGCTCGGGGGTCTGTGTGTGATTCACTCTGCTGTAGTTTGTGGTTTGACAGTTTTAAATATTTCTCAAAGTTGTTGTTTAAAGTTGCTGTTTGTATTTACATTTGAATATAGCTTGGTTTTTTAATGTTAGAAGCATTTTCCCACAATGACTAGTCGTAATTTCTGATGTGAAAAATACCTATTAAGGGGTTACATAATGGGATGATAATGATAATAATAATAATAATGTTAAGCTCCACAAGCTGCTAAATGTTGTTTCGTCAAGACCAAGACATGGAAAACAACAAAAATGATAAGAATCGCCGACTGGGTTGTTGGAAAAAAACGTTCTTTGTAGAAGATATTGTCTCAATCGCACTCGACTGCCCATTCATTTTATTATAAAGTGACAAAAAATGAATCCAAATGTTGCCCTTTTTAAACATGATGTTGTTTTGAGAGGGGCTACTTTGATTATTTGAATACAAAAGTATATAATGTGTGTGCATAGAGATAATAACAACCCAGCTTGTCTCTCCTTGTTTCTCTGCAGCGTTTGTGATTTATAACTTCCTGAGTCTGTGCTACGAGTACCTGGGAGGAGAGAGCGCCATCATGGCCGAGATCAGAGGGAAGCCCATCGAGTGAGTCTCACATTCACGAAAGATAAGGGTTATATTCCAACAGGCTGATAAACAATGTGTGTTTTCAAGTCACAGGGCTTATCCCACCCTACCAGGAAATATCAGAGAGGCTAACTCGATTTTAAACGACAGCTAAAGACACATCTTTTTCGATTAGCTACCCCTCACTTTAAATGTTCTTTTAGTCTTTATTATTTACCTATATTTATATTGTTTTATTTATTTTATAGGTCTTAATCTTTTCTTTCTGTTGTACCTATATGTTCACTTTGTTTAATGGGGTTTTATATTGTTGACTCAGATGTCTTGTGTCTTATCTGTCAGAGAAAAACCATTATTTATTTTATTTTTTATTATCCTACATTTTACCTCCTTGTGTCTATTAACCTGATAGAATGTTATATTTTCTGCATGTACCTTTTAAAGTTCTTAAAGGTTCCATGTCATGGCCATTTCTACTGATCATAATTCCATTGTTGAGGTATACTAAAATAAATGTATATTGTGCAATTTTCCAAACTCACATTGGTTCCTCATACAGCATCTCTGTATAGTCTGTGTATTCACTCTCTGTCCTAAACGGCTTGTTGGAGCTCCTGCCCCCCCCCCCCCCTCCCTGTGAGCCCAGTGGCCGTCTGCGAGACAGCGAAACCCAGCCTGGGCACACACACACACCCGCAGTCTGGCTGGGAGTTTGTGTGTGTGCCCAGGCTGAGTTCCGCGGTGTCTCGCTGTCTCGCCGACCCCACACCAGTGAGCCAGCTCACAGTGTCCCGCTCCTCACAGCAGCGAGCCTCGCAACGTCCCGCCGAGTGTGTGTGTGTGAGGAAGTCCGCGGATTGGTCCAAACGTAACGGCTCCGCGGACGTAACATAACGCCACTATACCCGAAATACGTCACTATACCAGAAGTAAACAATGGAAAAAGAGAAATCTCCAACGAGGCGTTCTGTGGGAGCATAGACAGGTCTTTTCTGTGTTAGAGTTTTACTCGCTACAGGGTGTACTTTGAGGGTTTGTGACTCTGCAGACCGTTCACATGCAGAAAAAGCTACATAACACACAAGGGGGCGGGTAATAACCAGAAAAGCATGACATGGGACCTTTAACAAATAATCTGAGGGGAATTTCTTGTTGTTTGTTTTTAACTTGTGATGTGTCATTTTGTAAAGCACTTTGAGCTGCATGTGTTGTATGAAAAGTGCTATATAAATAAAGCATTATTAATATTACATTTTTATTTACATATACAAAGCATTATTGTGCATATCTTTACCACACCTAATTCCCCAGAGATCAGGTGTAATCCAGATGTTGTGCCCCCCCCCCCCCTCAGGTCCAGCTGTGTGTACGGGACCTGCTGTCTGCGGGGGAAGGCGTACTCCATCGGCTTCCTGCGGTTCTGTAAGCAGGCCACGCTGCAGTTCTGCGTGGTCAAACCCATCATGGCCGCCGTCACCGTGGTGCTGCAGGCCTACGGGAAGTACAAGGACGGGGACTTCAAGTAAGGAAGTGTTCACATCCTTACGTGAAGTTTCAATTCAACATTCAATACCTTGTTGAAGTTAAAGGATGTTGGTGTGGCTTTTCCACTGTCCTGTGTGAGTCACTTATCGCTAAACAGTTACTTTTTCATGATAGTCATCTGCAAATAGGTTTCTCAATGGATTGTTGGAGTATCAGGTGCTCTTACTAACATACTAAAACTACCAAAATCTGACCACTACAAAGGTCTAATTTTCAAGATGGCGTCCAAGATGGGCGAAAATCCCTTAAAACACCCCTTCATAATTTATTTGAAAGTACTTTTGTGGGCGCCTAAAAATCCATAGGTCTTGTCCAAATTACAATAATATGATTACATCATTTTTGAATCCAATATTTTGGTTCGCCAGTTCCTTATAAACACCCCGTTTTTCAGCTTTTTACAATCATAGACTGCAGCATTTTATCAGCTGATGCAAGAGGGCTCGACACACAAACATGTTTCCGTTTCTCAGACAAATTCAACAAGCAACACGTGTGACGATAAATTGTTTTCTACTGGGTGGTTATGGTATGTAATAGATAACTATATAAATACAACCCAGTCTCACGGCATTTCGTGTTATAGTCACGAAATTAATTTAATCTATTGATTCGTGTTCACCAACACGATTTTCGCATTTTTTTCGTGTCACACAGAACGATTTTAAATGCAATGTATTTCTATTGGTAGTATGTTTCGTGCCTGCACCACGTATTTTTGTCCGGTCGGGTCTTGGAAGACCAGAAGCTGTGTGGTTCATAAAAACATGTTCTTACCCTAAGCCTAACCCTATCCCTTTTATTTTAAATTGTATAATGTCTGAGTTTTTTTGCCGTCAGTGAGGAAAAGAAATGGCTCAGAGCCTCAGAATACTGAAATCTGTATTTTTTTTAATATATTTTTCCTTCTAATTTGTTATTATTTGGTGCAGGCACGAAACATACTACCGAAATACTTTGCTTATAAAATCGTTCTTTGTCAGAATACTCAAATCTGTATTTTTTTTTATCTGTTTTTCCTTCTAATTTGTTATTATTTACATTGCTTTTAAAATCGTTCTGTGTGACACGAAATAAATGGGAAAATCGTGTTGGTGAACACGAATCAATAGATTAATTTCGTGACTATAACATGAAATGCCGTGAGACTGTGTTGATAAATAAAGCAAAGTTAGTGAAGTAAAAAGTACAATATTTCAGTCTGATTGCAGTGCGGCAGAAGTATAGAGTTGCATAAAATGGAAATACTTAAGTACAAGTATTTCAAATGTTCACATAAGAACAGTACCTTAAACTGTACACATGAGCCAGGAGTAAACACATGCAATACATATTGGAAAAACCACCAAATAAAAAAAACAACAAGAAAACAAACTTGTGGATTACTACTGTCATTTTTAGATTAATTGAAAGTCCCAGGCTGTTTCATTCATTCAGATTTAGGCTTTTAACTTCACTTACGATCAATCAGCACAAACCTGAAATCCCTCCCCTCTAACTACCATGTTCCTCTCCTCAGTGTCTCCGGGGGTTACCTGTACGTCACCATCGTGTACAACATCTCCGTCAGCCTGTCTCTGTACGCCCTCTTCCTCTTCTACTTCTCCACCCGCCAGCTGCTCAGCCCCTTCAGCCCCATGCTCAAGTTCCTCATGGTGAAGTCCGTCATCTTCCTCTCCTTCTGGCAGGGTAGGAAACACCGGCAACACATGCTCATGCTCTTTATATAGCACGTAATATAGTCTGAAACCTCTCCCTTTCTATATTTTATCCTTGAGAGTTTAGAACGTTTTAAACTTAGTGTATTGTTTTTTTTAACAGCATACAGTTATTCTATCAGAGCATGTATCAAAAGTAGGTAAACAAATCTTCACTTTATAGTCAAATAGGGAGAGTAACAATGTACTGCTTAACAAACCACATTTGTTCATGTTTATTTATCGATGTGGCTCAGGGTCATGTTCACATAGACCAGGGGGGTCAAACTCAAATACACAGTGGGGCAAAAAATGGGTACTAGTCGAGGGCCGGACTGGTTCAATGTTTATTGCAAAACTTATTGAAATGAACTTATTGCACATATTAAACCTGGAACTAACAAAGCTTAAATTATTGCCTATAAAAACAACATTAAACATTAAATAATCAGTTGCATTCATTTCTTATGGCTCTATCTGCAGATTTTCCAGACTCATTTCTTATGATTACATTTTCCCACAGGCCAACAACAGCTTCAACAAAACTATTTCCCTCAAAGAGAAAACCAAACATGCCCTGTTGTCTCAAGAAAAAAAGTGCAGAAGGAAACATCCATTAAACTCAGTGTGCTGCTCTGTGATGCTAGTTCAAGCCAGATACTTGGCATCTCATCTTGGGTGCAAGTTCATCAATGTTTGGGCTCAGGCTCTGAGCTGAGGAGACCCTCAGGATGGAGTGAAGGTGTGAGTGCAATATACCGGCGGGCCAGATCTAACAGTAATTAGAATTATCCTGCGGGCCAAAATTAAATCCACCACGGGCCTGATTTGGCCCCCGGGCCTTGAGTTTGACACATGTCACATAGATAAAGATATATATGGCAAAAAATGTTCCTTAAACAAAAAAGCACTTTGTTTAAATATAACTTTAGTTTTTTCTTATTCTAATAACAAAACCACATGAACCGCAGATAATCGGTTTAAGAAACACCTTTCTATATAACCCCTTACGGCCGGCCCGTCCACACGGCGGCATGCGTTGAAGCTTCAACGCTTCTGCCCATTCACTTTGAATGGGGTGACGTCATGTTTCGCCGAACTGCATTGTGGGAGCGAAGCGTAGCTTCAGAAGCGTTGCTCGCTGCAAAAGTTGAGCAATGTTCAACTTTTGAAGCTTCGGCGGAAGCGTCAGCCAATCGAATCATATGCCAGTACAAGCTCTAGCCCATCAAACCGCATGCTTGTGTATCCGGGGCGGGAGATTCATGTGATTGGTTGTTGGTCGAGTTTCAGCCCCCCCCCGCCGGCAAGCTTCAACGCACGCCGCCGTGTGGACGGGCCGTTATGGTTACATTTTCATTAAAACTAAATATTAATCTCTTCTTTCCTTTGGTTTCTAACCAGCTCTATGTTGCAAATATTTATGTATTTGTTATTTTTTGTTCAATTTTTTTAATATATTGTATGTTTCATAGCCAAAACGATGCTGTATCTATAGTGCATTCTGTCCACAAAGCCTTACATGTATTACATTTTGAATCTAAAGTTACACATAATCACCTGGGGAAACTACGTCTTCAATACAAGGGACGCTTTCCAATGTAATCTCTAGTTTAAATCCTACATAGATATTGCTCAACATCAAACCTTGGAGCTCACTTGAGCTTCAGCTTCATGTTCACTCTACACGTCTTATCTCTTGTGGTCAGGCATGCTGCTGGCCATCCTGGAGAAGTGCGGCGCCATCCCTCAGATAAACTCATTGGAGGTTTCTGTCGGCGAGGGCACGGTCGCCGCCGGATACCAGAACTTTATCATTTGCGTGGAGATGTTTTTCGCCGCTCTGGCTCTGCGCCACGCTTTCACTTACAAGGTCTACATGGAGAAGAGCCTGGATTCACAAGGTGAGGAACCAACAGGGAGGAGTTTCAATGCACCATGAAATACATTCTAAAATAGCCTTTTGTCTCCACTTTATTTTCATGCTTTTCCATCTTTTTCAATGCGTATTCCATCTCCTGTCTTTCAAACTAAATTCTTCCACGTTATGATTTACCACCTTTTTATTTTGTATCTGTTGCTTTTCAATGTTTCTGCGTACGTCTGCACCTCCATCTTTATCTGTCTCTTCTCTTCTCTGCTGTGCCGTAAAGGATCTGTTGCTACATGTGGAGACTTTGGTAGGTTTTAACCCTGATGATGTTAACTCAACAAGCCCCTTTTTTCCTTAACCCTTGTGTTGTGTTCAAAAGCTGTTACCGTTCATGGTGTTCGCGGGTCAAGTTTGACCCATGATTTATCTCAGTCCAAAACACACAAAAGAAATGACTATCATCCAATATTGTTTTAACTCCATCATAACTAACTTATAATGCATTCATAACCGTACAATCCTGTTGTAATGTTATGGCCCAAAACACATTACACCACATATTGCACACGTGCATGTGTGTGTTCAGGTTCAAGTGTTAGTGTACATAGTCTTTGAGAAAGGTGGAGTTCCCGTGGGGGGAGGGGGGCCAGAGGGAGGGGAGACCAGGTGCATGTTGCGAAAAATTATTGTTACAGTTGATGAAGGGGGTGGGGGAGGGGTGTCTAAAGTCAAAGATGGATCTTGATTGGGCCAAATTTGACCCCGAGTCACCCACAACAATTCTGCTTGGTCTCCCCCGACCCGAACACCAAATTATACACTTTTTTTTAGAGACCTTCAGACTTGGCTAAAATGGTCAAAATCAGTTTTGTAGTGTTTATATATCTGTTGTGGAGGATATCATGAAGCCTTGTTCCGATACAAAAAACTAGAGCATAGTTATTATATCATTTTAACTTGAAACGGGTCACGGGAGACCCGAACACAACACAAGGGTTAAGTGCTGCTAGCTAGTTGTGTCCTTCCCAAAGGTATAAAGTAGTGTGAATTTGACTTGGTTTTTGACTTTGTCTCTTTCTTCTTGTACATTTCTTTCTGATGATGTTAACTCAACAAGCCCCCCTTGTTCCTTTAGTGCTGCCACAGTTTTTAGCTAGCCCTCCCAGATGTATGAAGTTAGTTTCTGTTTTACCCTTACTTTTTATCCAAGGTTTGAATGTGATTTGGTTGTTCACCCGTGGATGTTTCCTTTTTTTAGCCTGGGTTCGTTTTCCTTTGTAAAGTTTGTTTTGAGATCGTCATGGGCTGTTGTTATCGAGCTCCTTTGGCTGGAAATAGAGAATATATTAAAGTTTTTATAAGAGTTTGAAGCTTTAATCGTGTAAAACTAATATTTAGGCACTCATTTGCAACACTTTGGTGAAACAGAAGCTAGCAGTGTTGTGGTACACTCATAATAAAGCGGTACGCAGTTATGAAGAACATGTGTAGATACATTATCATCTAACTGAGGAGACCCTGGTGCATTGTGGGATTTAAAGGGCTGTATGTACTGCAGTGTGAGTGGATTTAAAGGGAAACCAATTTCAATTTGAGTCATGAGTTACTGTCGGCTGTATGAAACGTTGTTGTTTTTATAAATGGAGCAGATCAGGATTACTCTGATGATGTTTTTCAGGCGTGTTTTAAATGGAGGATTAAAAGCCTCTGCAGGACACAGTAGGTTAACAGGAATATAGGTTACAGCTCTAACATAGAAACCATAAGCGTATTCAAATGTTTAAGGCAGACGTATGAAGTCAATCTGGAATTTTAGCATTAGTCACTTATTTTTCAGCCGGTCAGGTTTGAGTTTTAAAGTTGCTTTGAATGACTTGCTTAATTACTTAGTTACAGGATTTTTTTGTTTACTATATAGATCCCTTAGGTTCCTTTACGATACTGTAAAATAAACAAGTTTCCATTTCCGTTCCCTCTCTCTAAATCACACTCACCCTCCTGTTGTCTTGCTGTCCTCTAAATCTCTGATGCCCTTCTCTATTATCCTTTCTCTCCTCTAAATCACCTCCTCTCTCCTCTGACTCTTTTCTCCCCTTCCCCTTGTCTCGCCTCTCCACTTGATTTTCTCTCACATCTCCATAAATCCACCCTCCCTTAATGTTGTCCCCCCTTTGACTCTCTTTCTCTTCTCCAAATCCCTCCTGAATCATTATAAACCCTTTATTTCCTCTCCCAGCTCTCCTTTTTCCACCCGTTTCCTCTCCCTTTTAAGGGACAGTCAGATTGTATGAGGTCCATAGTCTGTGTATTACCTACAGAAGATGTTGGGGTAACAGAAAAGAGTACTAGCAAGGAAGCTAAGCAATGTTCTGCTTAATACAGTGGCAGCTAAACACATTTAAGACAACTAAAGTGTAAAAGTTGAAGTGTATGCTATAGTTTAAATATGTATACTGCTTTACCTTGCTGTCGGAGCCCTTTGGGAACAGGGGACTGATGGGTAATCCATGTTCTCTTCAAAGTCAACAAACTTCTTTCAAAAAAAGTTACATTTCTGATCTACTGCTGCCTCGATGGTGATTTTAAGTTTTGATCTTTAAAGAGGTGGAAAGATTTGTGTGGATAACTTAAAGGTGGGCTATGTAATTAACTTCAGAAACACTTTTTGTTATATTCCATGGAATGCTCTTAACATCCCGACAGCAATGAATACATTAAGTGCTTTGACAATAAATACATAACAAAATTTCATATGTGGAAGCCGTAGTACTGTAAAAAGCACGACCAATCATCTGAGCCGGCCCGGCTAAAATAACTGGATGGCCTACCTGCCTGTCAGTCTTCCATCTGTGCACAAACTTATCTCGTGCCCTCATTGGTCATGTGCGCGTTCGTGTGTGTTGGAGGAGGGGCTCTGTAAGGAAGTGGCAGATTTTCTCCGGTTGTGTATTTTCAAATTCTAGCGCACTCAAGCTGGTTTCTCCATTCTTACCTACCCTACCTTTAAGTCACACAACAACACAAACAAACAAACCAATGGAGGCCGCGGTAGATCAGCTACTCTCAACTTCTGCCAGGTTAAAGTACTTTTTAGTCAATGGAGTCTGTAGGCTGTTTAAAAGAGCCGTCTAACAGCAAGGTAAAGCTGTGAAAATATTCAAAGTATATAGTTCACTTCAACTGATATACCTTTATACATGTTGCTGCTGCAGTACATTGATTTATTTGTGACATTGTCAAACACAGAAAGCATACATACATAGACCCTCACATGTAGGATAAAGGGAGTAAAAGAGACTATTCTACCAGGGTCAACAAACCAAAATCTCTAAATCTCTCTTTCCCCCCCCCCCAGGCCGCCGCGCCCCCATGAAGAGCATCTCCAGCAGCCTGAAGGAGACCATGAGCCCCGGGGACATGGTCCAGGACGCCATCCACAACTTCTCCCCCGCCTACCAGCAGTACACCCAGCAGGCCACGCTGGAGCAGGGCGTCCCCCCTCCCCTCCCCCGAAACATCAGCTCCATTAGTGGGCAAGGGGGAGACACGGAGAAGACCCTGCTGCTCAGCTCCGACGACGAGTTTTAGAGCAGAGAAACCCCCTCAGACTGTTTTAACAGCGGGTCATCCTCCTGTGTGAATGATTAGAGAGGTGCGTTTGATTTCCTCACCATGGATGTGACGTGTGCACACACATCTCCCCAGCCAGTCTTAGTTAGTGGGAAGCTGATTTGGCGCTAAAAAAGTTCCAGAGAAACTGAAAAAGGGTTGTGTTTGGTTGTGAGTCCAAACTCGTACAAACGTGGCTTTTTAAATGCACGATCTCTGGCTCCGATAGAAGCTTAGTTTCACATTTCAGCGCGGCCATGTGGAATTTCAATCGTCCTAATGGATGTTTTCCTTTTGTAAAGTTTGTTTGGAGATCGTCATGGGCTGTTGTTATCAAGCTCCTTTGGCTGGAAATAGAGAATATATTAAAGTTTTTATAAGAGTTTGAAGCTTTAATCGTGTAAAACTAATATTTAGGCACTCATTTGCAACATGTTGGTGAAACAGAAGCTAGCAGTGTTGTGGTACACTCATAATAAAGCGGTACGCAGTTATGAAGAACATGTGTAGATACATTATCATCTAACTGAGGAGACCCTGGTGCATTGTGGGATTTAAAGGGCTGTATGTACTGCAGTGTGAGTGGATTTAAAGGGAAACCAATTTCAATTTGAGTCGTGAGTTACTGTCGGCTGTATGAAACGTTGTTTTTGTTATAAATGGAGCAGATCAGGATTACTCTGATGATGTTTTTCAGGCGTGTTTTAAATTGAGGTTTAAAAGCCTCTGCAGGACACAGTAGGTTAACAGGCATGGAGGTTACTGCTCTAACATAGAAACCATAAACAAACGTATTCAAATGTTTAAGGCAGACGTATGAAGTCAAACTGGAATTTTAGCATTCCCCATTTTACCACCAAGGTAATTAAAAGAAACACATTTATCTAACATACCTACTGTAGTCACGTCTTTTTCAGCCTGTCAGGTTTTTAATTACCTTAAGTCTTTTGCTTAATTACTTTTGACTGTTTAATCCTGAGCTGTGGTACATTGTAACGCTAAAACCCCTGTATATTAGCTCAGTAACAAGGGAACACATATTATAAACGCATTATCAATATGTTCAGTCGATCTCCTCTCAGTTAAAAATAACTTTAATTACTCTTGGATGCTGTTCATTCCTTCCAGGCACTTGTTTTGTTTGATTCAACCGCTGCCGATTGCACATAATTCAAGTTCTTGAGTCATCTGAATGAGTCACATCGAATTCTGCTGACGTGTTTACTGTAACTGCTGCTGTAGCACTGTGTGAACACCAGGGGGCCGTGTAGACAACACACACACACACACACACACACACACACACACTGTTATCTAGCAGCAGACAGGCAGTTATCACACACTTTAAGCTGGTACACATGTAACTGCTTTGTCTGCCACTTTTGTTATCTTTATCAACAAAGCACCCTCACACACACACGGCTGTTTTTTTGTTTTTGTTCTGCTCCCGTCTGACCTGATAATTTGCTTTTAAACGGCACATCAGCTTAGTGTGTTATTTTTAGACATTGCTGAGTGTTGTCTGGTTAATTGGGCCGCTGCGTTTTGACGTGAATACAAAGTGGATTATTATTTTTGCCTGCAGACACACATGACAATACACTGTCCTTTTTTGGTCCCTATAAATGCATTTAAATTCTGAACCACTGAATGTTTTTCGTGCATCGATTGGTTATATTTGGACATTTTGACCCTACAATAGGCTTGTCATAATTTCCGATTTGAACTACACGATTATTACAGCTGACAGAATTCACAGTAACAATATTAGAGCGATATCTATTTAACATTGCAAGTCAAATAATGCTATCGGTCAAAGTCCTCTTACATTTTTACTTTTAATTGTGTGTTTTTTGTCTTTTGATGTGTTAAGTGAGAACAAAGCAAGTTATTGAAGAAACTGAAATTATTTTAGAGGAGTTATATTATTTTATTGTGCATTATTTTAGGTATAATGTACGGAAAGCCGGTCTTAAATCACACTAAAGGGGTTTATTTTGCAATAATGACCCACTCGCTGTACTTCACTATGCTAATTACACGCCTACTGACTAAAGAGATTATTAATTTAACACACAATATTGATTTTTAAAAAGTTTTTATTGATTTAAAATTGATTTGTTTGTTTTTGCTCCACTGATTGTTTTCCCAGATCGAACTGCGTCCATAGCAACAGCAGAATGCCGTTATCGACCAATCAGAATCAAGTATTCAACAAAGCGACATAATATCTAGATTTCATTTTTTGAACGTTACGTTATTATTAATATTGGTTTATCGCATTAAACTAATTCAAACTGAGTAAGATATCGTATCCGGGAGGAACTAAAGCTACTAAAGACGGGTTTTCACAATTTAAAATCGACGTATGTTAGTCGTACCACACTTTTAAATGCCATGTTTGTCTACAGGAGGAGGGATGTGTGTTTAGTCATATATGCTGTATAGGTTATGCACAGGAGACATTTTTATTATTTCAACTACTGTTTTTGGTTCCTAGTTCTTTGTATATGATAAAGCAGCTCATGATGCTATTATGTCCTTTCAAATGGAGAAATATCTGAAGATATAATAAAGAATATTTAGTCTATTATGTTTACCGCTTGTTCATTTTTCCTCTTGGTTATAGTATTTATATCAAGAAACCCACGGTCATTTAACTTTGTTATACTTGTCTCACTTTAAAAATGTTACTCAGATGTCATAGATCAGGGGTGTCAAACTCAAATACACAGTGGGCCAAAATGAAAAAATCGGTACTAGTCGAGGGCCGGACTGGTTCCATGTTTATTGCAAAACGTATTGAAATGAACTTATTGCACACAGGGCCGTCCCTCCCTACAGGCCGATCATGCAGACTGCGTGGGGCCTCACCTTGCGGAGGGTGCCTCAACTGAGCCGAAAAAGCGGCGCACCTATGCGCTTATGCGGCGCAATTAGTGTGGCGCGGCACGGTTTCGCCGCTGCGAGGCTCCACTAGCAAAACAGAGGACCTCATCATATAACCTTGCGTGGGGCCACAAGAAAAAACCAAACATGCCCTGTTGTCGCAAGAAAGAAAGTGCAGAAGGAAACATCCATTGAAACTCAGTTTGCTGCTCTGTGATGCTAGTTCAAGCCAGATACTTGGCATCTCATCTTGGGTGCAAGTTCATCAATGTTTGGGGTCAGGCTCTGAGCTGAGGAAGGTGTGAGTGCAATATACCGGCGGGCCAGATCTAATAGTAATTTAAAATTATCCTGCGGGCCGAAATTAAATCCACCAAGGGCCTGATTTGGCCCCCGGGCCTTGAGTTTGACACGTGTCATAAACCCTTAAAAGTATTAAGATTTATTTAGATTAATATTTCCCCGTCACTAAGTTTCAACTTTTATCGAACAGTTTTTATTATAATTTCCAAACATTGATGTCTTTTTCCACAAATGTTAACCCTTTAAGTGTTTAACTTTTTATGGATACAAAACAACATTATTTCCTGTTTATTAAACGCTATGGGATGTTTTTGCAGGCTTGGATATGTTTAGAATTGGCAGCAAAAAAAATCCCGTTATCAATTTTTTGTTTTTGTTTAGGAATTCAGGAATATAGCACGAAATTATCCTCTCGTGCAAATTTGAGAAAATGTCTTTATTGGGAGGAAAAATATAAAAAATTACAATTTTAAAGCCTGATATATGAATAACAATAATAGCTGGGGGATAGAAAAATGGTGGTTTATTGTCTTCAAAGGATCCAAGTGTCTGTATCTGGCGACACAGTTTATTATAGGAGCTTAAAATGTATTAAAAAAAAAAGACAGATTAAAAAATATTTAAATACCAAAGATCTCCCTAGTGAGGCTAAACGTTTATTTATATTTGAAATATTAGCACTTTACCATAACTTGTGCGACACAACCACAAACACCATGTTATGTACAATATGTACAACATTTATTATAATTAATATATAAAATAGACAATGTACTTAAATTTTCACAATAGAAAAAATACAAGTAATAAATACAAAAAACATTTTTTTGTTTTGCAAAGTATTACAAAACATCCAGCACAGTTCGACAGATGTGAGACGTTAACATAGAGAATAAATGCTTTGCCACACCGATATTCATATAGCTAAATATATGCCTCATATCTGAAGGAGTTACTCGTCCACAGACTCATGTGTTACTCCGCCGCTCAGAAACGATATTGCTCGCACGATTCAGTGGCCGACGCTCCAAGAAAGACAGTTTTAGCTCATTTTGGCTAAAACGTGTGAGATTTTCAAGTGAATAAAGCACCACCTCTTCTCCTCCTTCTCATCCTTTCCTACTTCCTTTCTCCATCTTCCAACAAAACAACTCCTCCACCTTCATCTCTCCTCATCCTCATCTCCACCTTTAACATCCCGTGGATCCGTCCACCCAGCCGATACAGAAGTGACCTTAATTTTTTCACACAAATAAAACATACAAATATCATCATAGAAAAATAATATCCCTCCAAGAATCCACTATGACAAGCCAGTACACACACATGGCAAAAAACACACACACGGAAATCATCATCATCATCATCATACAGCAATATGGCCATTGGCTTTGAGCATATCTTCTACATAGCTAATAATTAACAATTTTTTGTAAAGTAATCATCGTTGCCACACATTAACACAATAATTAGACATGAGAATATCCCCGGACTAGTCATAAGTACTTCTGAAAACACATAGAACATCACAGCACTCGTTAGCTTGTCTTTTCATAACGTCTACTTTAAATACAAATAAAATATAGAATATATCTCTGATAAATGTCACTCAACATTTTCGTCTCTCAACGGCACGTACGAACATTACAAATAAGAACACAGAACGGGAATGTATGCGGAGGGTTTTCTGCATCCACTCGAGTGTAATTCCTACCAGATGCCACTCCGCTCTTTTGTAGCAAAAATGACCAACATGTGCTGTTGGGAGTCGACCAGATATTTAAAAAAACACAAAAAAGGAAGCCGCAGCAGACGTACTGCACAGTAGGGATTGTGTAATGAGCGATGCAGGATTACAGCTCTGAGACATTTAAAAGAAATGAACAGTCAAACTGAGCGGTTACAGTCTGTTTCCCCTCTTAGGTTCTTCTACTGAAGGCACTGCATTAATGTGAGAAATGTGAACACAAGCAGTACAAAAACGACACTCCCCTCACGCGAGGAACAGCGAGGAAGTATCGGCAGGTGAATCCCAAACAAAACAAGAAAACGCAGAAATGTCACTGATAATTTTTGCAAACGCAGCGTTTCTCAACCTATTCCTGGATTCTCTCCACGTTAGCACTTTTTTTTTTTTTTTTTTTTTTTAAAAACAGTGCTCTCTTGGAAACCCGCCTGCATATCAAGTGACACTGAGGTTGAGAAACTCTGCATTAACGACTAACAAGAGTCTCACTTTGGGACACTTTGTTGCACAGTAGCAGAGACACAGGACTGCAGGTGTGTGGAAGCAGAAGCAGCAGGACTGGCTTCACTGAACAGTTTCTCTCTCTCTCGTCTTCAGTCAGAGTTTATCCTGCGATGCCGCCTCGTTCACATGAAAACTGCTGCGTCTTATAATCCTAAAACAAATGTTCAGTCGTGGTGAGACAGTGGAGGACGCCTCCACCCGGCCTCTGGATAAAACCAAACATATCTGCGTATTTGAACATGTGAACGAGGCGAAACGCAGTACAAGTGCTTAGTATTTTCCTACTAATAATATCCTGTGTGTGTAGTTTGTGTGTGTTTGCATTGCAGGTTGTGTGTGTCCTCTCCTCTCCTCCCCTCCTTCCCTCAGTCCCTCAGCTCCTTCTAGGACGGCTCCTGGTCTCTCTGTGCCCCCCGCTGTGCCGGACTCTTGACGATGGTGATGACGGAGGCGGTGTTGAGTCGTGGCGCTGTGGCGAGGATGTTCCCCCCCCCGCCGCTCTCTAACCCCCGGGCGAACCTCTGCAGGGCGGCCAATCGAGCGCCGAGCCCCTCCAGCTCCTTCCTCATGCCGGCGTTCTCCACCCCGAGCCGCTCCACCTCCCTCTGCAGCTCCGTCTTCTGCAGCTCCAGAGCCTCGCGCTGGGACACCCGTTTGACCCGGCAGCTGGCGGCGTAGCCCCGGTTCTTCAGGGTGCGCCGGCGCTGCTTCAGCTTCTGGATCTCGTCGCGGGACATGCCGCGCAGGTGGAGGTTCAGCTCGCGCACCGTCAGGGACATGAGCTCGTTGTCGGATAGGACGGGCACGTTCTCGCCGCACTCCTGCTTCACCTGGGGAGGGAGAGGAGAGAGAGTTAGGAGAGTAAAGCAACAACAGTGGTGGGTAAAGGGAATCAGATCTACTTAAGTGTGTAGAAATAAGTTACAAGTTAAAGTCCTGCAATCAAAATGTTTACTTTAGTAAATAAGTGCAAGTCAACTTCAGTTTGTGTGTACAGACGGAGAGATCGAAATACCCTTTCCCACAATCCCGAATACAAAAACAATTGTATATAAAAATATGTATAAAATATGTATATCCTATAATCACAATCACAATTTCTACTTTAAAGAGTCCTCTCCTGCTGATGTTCAGGTGTATATCAGTATGTAGTGTCTCTGCTTTAAAGAGTCCTCTCCTGCTGATGTTCAGGTGTATATCAGTATGTAGTGTCTCTACTTTAAAGAGTCCTCTCCTGCTGATGTTCAGGTGTATATCAGTATGTAGTGTCTCTGCTTTAAAGAGTCCTCTCCTGCTGATGTTCAGGTGTATATCAGTATGTAGTGTCTCTACTTTAAAGAGTCCTCTCCTGCTGATGTTCAGGTGTATATCAGTATGTAGTGTCTCTACTTTAAAGAGTTCTCTCCTGCTGATGTTCAGGTGTATATCAGTATGTAGTGTCTCTACTTTAAAGAGTCCTCTCCTGCTGATGTTCAGGTGTATATCAGTATGTAGTGTCTCTACTTTAAAGAGTCCTCTCCTGCTGATGTTCAGGTGTATATCAGTATGTAGTGTCTCTACTTTAAAGAGTCCTCTCCTGCTGATGTTCAGGTGTATATCAGTATGTAGTGTCTCTACTTTAAAGAGTCCTCTCCTGCTGATGTTCAGGTGTATATCAGTATGTAGTGTCTCTACTTTAAAGAGTCCTCTCCTGCTGATGTTCAGGTGTATATCAGTATGTAGTGTCTCTACTGTGACATGTCTCCATGCTTTAATGTTCAAAAAGCTCTTTATTTGTCTCATACTGCCTGTGCTGCAGCACCTCTTTTCACCCTCTGTCTGAAACCAGAGCCCAGTCTGCTCTGATTGGTTAGCTGGCCGGCTCTGTTGTGATTGGTCAACCGCTTAGAGATGTCCCGCCCCTTAGCCTATCACGCACAATGTGTTGGAGCGCTAGCCAATAGAAATGCAAGAGTTAAGTAGTGATGTCACTATGCTAAGGAAGTGAACAAAGGAGTCCAATGGAGGGCAGGGTTTTATTTAAGTGAGTATACTTTTTATTTATTAATCTTTAATAGTACATAAAGATCTATTTTTGTCATTTATAAATTGAATAATGAATCTGATTCAGAACAGTATCTAAAGCAGCGGATACAAAAGTTAGTTTT